CCCCCCCCCCCCCCCCCCCCAACTTTATGGCAGTACAATACTAAATTGCTGGAGTTCTTAACAATGAGATTCATATATCAATATTTAATGCCTGAAAAATGCTGCTAATTCAACTGATATTTACCATCACAAGGTCACAGTCAGGGATTTAAAGTTCTGTATCTTTTGTCTCCGTTTCAGATCAATCTCCGATTAAATCCATTCTAATTGGCGTTGTCATCGTGCTGGTGATTCTAGGATTAGCAGCTGTGGCTGTTTGTGTATACTATAAAAAGAGAAATACCAATGGTGAGTAACTATTACTTGTTTTCCATTTTTTTGTAAACACATTGATGGCATCAAATAGCACGTATTTTTTCTTTTTTAGTGACAATTTATGAGGATGTGGCGCTGACCACACGAGACACAGGTGATGACAGATATGAGGTGCTGCACAAGGGCGCCCAAAGGGAGGGCGAATACGACACCCTTCACCCAGAAGCACCAGGCAGACAGAAGAAAGAGGGTGAATACGAGGCACTGAAGAGAGGGGAAACGGAAGAGGGGGTATACCACACTCTGGGAATGGTGGGGGCAGCAGGAGGTCAGTGAAGATATGCAGCAGTAGGGAAGGACTGAGAATATGAGATAGTGGAGGAAAAGAAGGAAGTCACAGCAGAGGAACAAGAGACTGAGCCATAAAAGGACAGATTGGTCTCAGTAGCTTTTATGCTTAAAAATAAATCGAATTTCCCGCAAACCAGAACAGTTTTTCTTGCAATATCGCACGGTTAAAAAACTGTTTGTTCCCGTCTATTCAGCAACACCTGCATCGGGTGACCCCCCCCCCCCCCCGATTATATTAACCTGTGGCTTAATTGACAGCGGCACTACGCCCCCAAGTGATGGGAGGTTTTACAAAACAAAACAATAACAAAATGGCTCTTACAAACGGAATCATACCGATTTTTCATGACAATTCCTCAACTGTTTTTTTTGAAGGCTTTTTATAATGTGTAAAGTAGATTGAGTGCTTGATCAAACAATACAAATATGGGAAAGGGGTGAGTAGAGTTTCATTTGTACAGCCATGGAGGATGGTCCCATGATTTGAGTTTTGTGTCTTAAAATATATTTGCCTTACCGATGCTTTCTGTGATTTATTATTCTTTTTATTTGGCAAATAAGAAATGGCATAATATTGCATAGTTTTTGCTTTTGCATTCTAACGTAAAATCACTTGTGTGTGCTGATCAGATATCAGATTAATTTGCTTGAGAGAGAGTGTCATTCCTATTATGTGCTGAAATAAATCTATTTGATTAAATCTGGTTGTAGTTTGTAAAAATCACTTCATCATAAAATGTATAGATGTTATGAACCTCTGCTGCCTTTTTAACCCAACAACAAATGAATGCCAAAGAAGGTTCAAGAATGAGAATTCATTACACATACAACTCAGGTGTTATCTCTCTAAATGTTTGTGATGCAGAGGAGAAAACAAAGGTCAAACAAGTTGACAAAACTGGTCTTTAGAATGGTAGCGTCAGGTCACGACAACAGCCAGTGCAGCCAGTTCAGAAACATGAGCAAGCAACAATAGTTCAACTTTTGGGAAATATAATTCTAAAAACTACCCATCACTTGGTTGGTTAGTTTATTTTAGGTTATTGTTTCAATTGCTAAATTCAAATATTAGACAACCTCAATTTAGTATTGCCCATATGAGTTAGTGTAAGTAAGAACCGCAACAAACAACACAGGCTCCGGATTACAGCTCTAGTCTGGAGCAATGTAACCTTTTGGGACTCGCCTGATCGCCTCAGTAATGGGGTGCATTCCCCACTTTGTCCAAGTTCGCCTCAGCCAGTCAGTCTGCCATAGCACATGAGCCCAGGGCGCTCCTCTGTCAGCTCAGTGGCTTGCTAATTGGATTTGAGATGCGAATCGCAAGGGCTCTGAGTCAAAGGGTCCCACCCCTCCAGAGCGTCTCAGGGTGCACTCCACATAGACCACAGGTCTTCAACATCCACGTCATATCTCAGGGATATGACGTCCGACTCTGTGTCTCACTTGGTGCTTGGTGTAACTTCTGCGGCGGCACCATCTGAGTCAAATTGAAGCAATTGAGCCACAGTGAGTAGGCCTATTGAAAACATTAGGCAGGCGATGCTCAATGGCTTGTCCTCTTGATGTCTTTTGCCCAGTCAGCAGTTTAGTCTGGATTATTTGAGGTAACCCAGCCTGTTAGAGCGTCCAAGTGACTACTCTTTCTCTCACTGGCAGATAGATGCAGGATGATCCCATTGATTTTTAGAGACCAGAGCAGGTCAGCATGAGTGAATCCCTGAGCCAAAATCTATTTTTCTTCTTAATTTCTGTGCTCTTATAGTGCTCTTCTGTGCTCAGTGATCAATACACTGTCTGGAGAGGAGTACAGCATTATGGGTAACATGAAACCACTGTATCCAAAGCTTTAAAGAGCTACATTATTCGTGCCTGAATCATGCATGAAGCAGAGGAACGTTGGCTCAATCAAGACAAAACAGGTGCTGAAATGAAACATTTAAAACGCTGATTAAAAATGTAACACTCAGCTATAATCATCATCTTCTTCTTCTTTTTTTTCGCAAGACAGTTTATACATCATATACTGCCATTAAAATATAAAAATTGGAGTAATGCATAAGAATAAACAGCCTATAAATAATAACTAAGATCTATAATTATTGTGCAGGAATTATCACCTCTAGGTTTTATTATACAATACATGTACATGATTTTTACACATACAATTTTAGTTAACAATCCAGAACAAAACATTTAACAAGGAAATAAATGAAAAATGACAAAACAGTAAAAACCCTAACATTTATTAGGCTATTTAATCTATCAGTGAACTCCACTCTATGAAACCGTATCAGCCAAAAAGATACCTTTCCATGATCTAACACACTGACATTTTTTTTAGTCCTTAACCTTCATTTTGGGGCTAGCTAGATACATTTAAACATCTACTGACAAAAGTAAAACAAATGTACAGTGAAGTGTCATTGTATTGTTATCAATACCGTGATCAGTCAGTTTACTGATCTTTTAACATATCTTCAACTTGCTGCACTATAAAATAAAGCGAAAGGTATAATGAAAGTCCACTTTTAAACAAGATTGACTGATTGAGATCTACGTAATGGCTCAACGGGACTAACATTTATTTGCACAATTTTTTGTTTCGACATATGCTACATAACCGGCACCACACAACAGTCTCGGCTCAGGGTTTTTTTTGTGCCTTACCAATGTGACGGAGAGCAGACACTGGCGTGTGTGGGGGATCTTAGGTTATATGCTGATGTTTACACTTAGTGCATGAATTTGCTTGCACACAACATTAACATAAAAATCAAATCAATGAAGAATATATTACAAGTAATTCATATTGAACCAAATTCTGATATTGGACAATTGGAAGAAAACAGTCTCAAAGAGACCCGATAAAAGTGTCTTTAAACTACCCTGGGAAATAGCATCGCCTCTAGTGTCATACGAGGCATTTTTTATTCCCCAGTTTGTCAGCAGGCAGACAGGTTCGAGGCCTAGTACATGAAACATTTTTGCACAAGATGCTGCATCTAAAAATATCAGTATGGGCTATTTAGACTTCACAGAAAGCTGTGTACAGTATTATTTGCAGGTGTTCAATTATTTTCTTAGTGGATGAGTAAACCAATACTACAGAGCAAAATATGTTTGTTGTATTGGCACAAGTAACATGCTTTTAAAAGTGTGCACATTAAGGGCAAGACTTAACATTGGTTTTAGGAGAAAAAGCTTTCATGGTCTGAAGACCATGTAGAAAACCAGTTCAGGTGATTTGACCCGTTTTAACTTCAGTGGAGGGGAATACTTTTGGGTTGCCGAAGTTCTCCAACAATATATGATTTGATTTAAAACTCAATAGTTTTTTTACCAAATACAGAAGTGCGCCAAAGGATTTGTAACTATTTAAGTGAGAGGCATACAAATGAAATCCTGTCAGATAATATATGGAAATGTCTACAAATATTACAGTGAATAAACACCAAAGAAAGCCACAGCAGGCCTAAAACACAACCGTCCTCCGAGGAATATTGCAGGGAGGGTGATGAGTCCTAATACACTCTTACTTAGGTTGTCTGTCACACAAGGTACACAATTGCACACACAAACACACATTTTACATTTACTAATGTCTTCACCTCCACTGTGGAGTCTCTTTGGATTCAGTTCAGTTATGATAATATAGTCAGACTTGCTGAAAAATGGTCCGCTCCCGCATTCACATTTTAATCCACACTTTCAAAGTTCTTCGTGCCATCGGGTGACGCTCCACGCTGTTGATGTACTGTTTCTGCCTCACTGAAGGCTATGTGCAGGAGATCTGCAGGTTTTATGTTAACTCTCGGCCCCTGTAATTATTGGTTCCTGGTTGGACATACTCCTCAGTTTTGTCCCAGTCTGAGACCCAGCCTCCTCCTCCCCCCATGCCTCCGGCTCCGTTGGGATCTGCTCCCTGGTTCATGGCTCCGTAGCCTCCCCCACCGCTTGTGCGATACAGCTCCTCTGTCTCGTTTGCGAGCTCGTCCTCATCCAGGATGCCACATTTCTCATTACTCAGCTGCTCCGGCTCTGCCCAAGCTTGCTTCTCTCCAGATGCAAAGAGGCCTGCAGCCCGGAGACATGATCAATCCGTAAGATACAGAGTTGTTGCACAGTATTCAGGCTTATGACAACCAAACTACAGAAGATTGCATGAAGAGCAATGCACAGATTGTTCCATACTTGAACGCTCTAATGCTCCGGTTCTGGGGAAAAATTAGTGAAAACAGAAGTCATACACACCATAGAATATAACACCTCCATAATGAACAAGGGAAGCGATAAGAAACACTCCCTGCCACTCCTCCCGCGTCTGTCAAAGTAGAGTGAGAGAATTAAAAGACATTATGAGCATGAAAAGAAGCACAAAAATAAATGTAAGTATAAATGAGCTTATACTCGGAATACCTTTTACTCCCGTCAATGAAACTTGTTGCTCAAACAACTTACTTTAGATTCAACTTCTCCTGTGGCTGCGATTGAGCTACTCTCAGAGCAAATTTAAATTGATATTGGCTCCTCTTAAGTCATACATTTCTCCCTGTGTGACTATCGGACATGCAAAATGGTAAAATTCTTTCTGAGGAAGGGACACCTGCTGTTGATTTAGAAACATTTTTATGACCAAACTGAGTTGGAGGTGCACTGTTTACATATATAAGGTCATGCAACATACATGTTTGTGCCATAATCCATGGTAATAACAAAAACAAGAACATAAATGTATTTTTGCATGTATTTTACAACACGAGCCCTCACCTTATGCTTCGTCATTGCGCCAACAATAAGTGGGCAAACCATGCCAGACAAAGTGCCTACACCGTTGGAGATACCCATGAGGATACTAGCATATCGTGGTGCAATGTCCAGGTGGTTGACATTGAAACCTTACGAGGAAAGATAAAAACAATATTAGCACATAAATGATAGGACAGTTATATGAGCACAAGCTCTACAAATTGTACTTTAATTTTTGTGGCTAAAAGGTTAAAAACAAGTTGATGTCCTCTATGAAAAAGAGGGGCTTATTGATATTGATGGGGGCAATGTAGATGCATTGACACAAAATGTCACTACAGTAAGAATAAACGTGGTTTCACCTGAAATTGCAAAGCCAGAGAAACCCACAGCCAGGACCAGGAATGTGATTGCAACAACTTTTGTATGAGAGAAGCCCACCACCAGCAGCAGGGTTGCCTCCATCCCGAACCCTGATGTAGACGAGCGAAATAGAATCAAAACACTGAATGAGTTTAACTTGTTAATGGAAAACATTAACTACAAGGCAATAATTCTGGTATTTTGAAGTAGGGTTCGATAAGGCACTTGTCTATAGTCAGTGTGTGATTCTTTTAGGTGTCTTACTTTCACGTAAATGTTTTGCTGCTGCCCCCTCTCTACAGCAGTACACATTGCTTTGCTCCTGTACTGGTACTGTTGTCTGCTTGTCTACTGGAGGTCAGCTGTACACTGACTATGGATAAGTACCTCACACAACCCCACTTCAAAACACCAGAACTATCCCTTTAAGTCTCAATACAAAATGCTCATTCAAGTCAACTTAAGTCTGTTTTCTTCATGCCTTTCTCTTCTGTTTCATAAAATGCTGTTGAGTGAACAGTAACCTTTCGTTTGCCCAGTACCGACAGCTTTTCACAAAGGGATATGTACACTGTATACTTCTCCATTTCACTTTGCTATCGATTTCTCTGTAGTTCAAAAATAGCCAACAGAGGCAGGGCTTCTGCTTTACAGTGAGTCATCATTTCCCTTATGCAGCAACTCTTTTCTCACTACAGCTGACTAAATACTGTAGTTAACCCCATAATTAGCCAATAAGGTACAGTTTCACATGAAGGAACCAGCCTTCTGACGAGAAAAAATAAAAATAAATGTTTTTATATCAGATATGGCTACAGTTTTAACGTCTTGGGGAAAAGAATTGCTGCTATTATTAGCACAGCAAGTGAGCTACATTTCTTGGGCACTACATCTATGCATTTCCCTTTCTGAAATTCTAAATTTGCTTTCTTACCTCCACAGTTCATAAGTTTCCTGACGTTAGTGGTGGTCATGATTTGGTTGGAGCGCAGATAGTCAGCAAGCTGGCCACCAATGGGCACGATGATGGTCATGACAAGGTGGGGAAGTGCAGAAACCATGCCCACCTGCAGAGAGATGAGACAAAGAAAAGAATATGTAAAAGACTTTCTAGAGCTTTTGACTTTCTTCAGTAGTTTCATGTTATTGTACATATGGCAACATGTGTTCCTGGTGCAGCACACCGCACATAACCACATCTGGTTTCTGTTACCTTGCTGATCTCAAACCCAAACACCTCTTCGAAGTATGCGGGCTGGCTGATGAGAAGCAAGTAGAAAGTCCAACTTCTGCAGAAATTTGCCACAATGATGGCATACACTGGCATGGACGTGAAGAAGGCCCTCCACGGCGTGTTGAATTTCTGTAACACAGTTACTTATTTCAGTGATTTTGTCATGGAATTTTAAGCCTCTGACTTGTTTCTCAAACATAAATGTACAGCTGTTTTAGCAGGATTAATGACCAGTTTTGTCTAATTGAGATGATCTTTTTGACATAAATGAAAAACCAGGACATTGTGATCAAGATGATGATGGTTGGAATAAATGAAATGCATGAATGCAGACACAAATGAGCAGAGGTTACAACTTATACATACTTTACATATATCCGTGCCGTGTTGCTTTCATTTTGGTCAAATATTATTTTTCTATACTATTATTAGAAATGGCTCATGATGATGTTTGAATCATATTATACAAATCTATTCCATGTACTGACCGTGATCGCATGTTGGGACGACTCTCCAATGCTTTCCTCAATATAAGTTCTCTCCTCCTCAGTGATGGTGGGATGGGCTGCTGGACTTTCATAAGACACCAGGAACCAGAAGCAATACCACAGGATCCCAAAGGTTCCTGTGGGGAGGAAGAAGACAAGCAGGGGAAAAAAGAAAGAGCAATGTAAGCGTCAAAACTGGAAAGAAAGGTCATAAAGAACAAGGAGACACATTGACTATTGCTGCTGCCTTTCTTCAAATTTGGCACAAATGTCCACCTGGATTCAAGGAACTGATTGGATTTGGTGTTCGAAGGTCCCTGTGACTTCACAAAACACATTTCATTTTGACAATTTCACACAAATGTCTAATAGAGTAGAATTATGAAGTAACGACCATTTGGAGAGACGTGGATGTAAACTGTAACATGATTGGACTAGTTTTGGTTCTCATATTTATGGTGCTTGACTTTTGTGGTCTCCTGGTCCTTCTTTCAGTATGTGTCAGTATCTACTGTGTTCCTTCCTGTTAATGCTTAGTTCTTGTCACTGACTAATAACTGTACGACTCTGCATGTTTATTATGGCAACAATCACATTGTAATGTATTTCACTACAAAGACAATGTGTAGTTTCCCCAAGTTATAGTTTGGTCCGAAAAAAGTAGCCCCAGTGTAAAGCCTCTATATTTCATTTTGTTTGCCTCCGGCCAAAAGGACAAGGGTCTCTTACCGTAGACATAGAAGACTGATGACCATCCTGTGTACTGGACCAGGATTCCAGCTAATGGCATGGCAATCACAGCCCCAGCATAAGAACCTAGATGGAAGAAAACAATGTTTAGGGCTGCCATTTGAATTATACTCTGCCACTTACTTTGTCACGTAACCGCTAAGTCCATACAGCATGTCAAAAAGTCATTCTTTGTAGGTGTCTCCAGGACCACAGTTTGCCATGATGACACACACACAGACTCAGAAGGTGAAAAAACAACACCAGACACACGCTGTTGCAGCTGGTAAATAGTGAAAAAAAAAACTTTTTCTTTAAATTAGCTAATGTATTACTTTACTAACCGTTTCAGTTCTAACTGTGGCTTCATTAAACTTGCAATATGTGTCTCTTAAAGTGATAATAAACATCCCTTGTGTAAAGACCGAGAGAACAGATACAGACGGACTCACCACAAAAGGCTGTCGTGGCCAGGCGACTTCTTTCAAGAGGTGGGGCCCATTTTGCCCAAATGCCGTGACAGGCTGGATATGAAACCCCCTGTGGGATAGGGAAGAAATTACACTATGCTCAATGTTTTTAATAAAATGGAAATGGAAATCTTTCTTGTTACCAATTGATTGTGTTTATGAGCAAGCTATAGGATCAAGCACCTCCACAAGTCCTTGACATATTCTGACAAGGATAACACAGCCAAAGTGCATCCGTGCTGCAGCAGGGATGAGCATGTTCAGGAAAGACGTGGCAACTATAGCAAAACCAAACACTCTGGAAGAGGAAAGAACAGAGACAGGAAGAGACATTCAGTGTGTATACTAGAATATACAATTATCCCTTGCATACAATAAATAGTGAATGAACAGACCTGTTTGCTGCAAACTTTTGACAGATGAACCCTCCTGGGATTTGGGTTACTATGTATCCCCAGAAGAAGGACCCGTGAATCATTCCCACTGTTTCTGGATCCCAGTCAAACTGAGCTTTCTGTTGGGACACACAGGGCGCATGCACTTGAATTAGAGTTCAATCCCTAAAATGCACTGAGGCGATCTGCGCGTGTATATATGTGTTATGTACCAGAACAGACAGTATGTAATGCTGGTCATTAGATTAAGTGGGATTACAAACCGCAAAACTGAAGGGAGAACAATACAAATATAGAAAAGAACTCATGTGATTGATTCCTGTCCCCCTGAGGCATATGCCCGACCGTTGACCTATCACAATATTCCCTCACAATAGCTGTCAAACCTTTAACTCTGATGAATGACCCCACTGACTCCAACATTAACTGACAGACCGTTGTATAAAATGCCATTGTATACTGCACAATTTACATTTCCCTTAAGTGTAATTAAGAGGCCTATCTCAAACTACAAAAGTCAGAGGAATCCACATGCTTTAGGTGGTATAGTGTGTTTCACCTAACACGTATCTCACACATAAATAATAATCTGGAAACAATGATATTTATTCTGCCTTGCTGTTGTAGACTTCACACCTCATCCAGTGCCACTCACCACTATGACCTCCTTGTTGTCTCTAAAGACGGTGTGGCTGTTGACCATGCTGACGATGGCCACGCCCAAGTTACATCGGATACCAAAGGAGATACAGAAGCCAAAGCCTGAGAGGATGGCGATGATGTAGCGCCGGGGCAGGCCGAAGCATGTGCAGTCCACCACGGGTATCTCCTTCTCCTCCACCAGCTCCGGCCGGCCCTCCGCCGACAGCTCGATGGTCTCGCCATTTTCTTGCTTCTTCTCAAGAGCTCTGTTCAGAAGGGAGAGGAAAGTGAATGGAACATTTAATATGTAAAGTATTGTAGTTTAGACTCAAGTCAGCCACACAAACATACTGTCTGAAGTACTGGTGAAATTGAGAAGTTAATTTTAATAGTTGAACTTTGATATAGCCTCAATCCTTGTATATCTATTTTGTCTGCTTGTGATTTGTTTGACATGATTGCCTGGGCTATCGATCAGTTGAACTATCTCAACTAATCGCAATGTTGAATAGCAACCCTTGTCCTATCAAGAAAGACAATATACACCAAAACACACTGACATATGAGAAAAGCACCAAACAGTCAGTGTACAGTTTGCTGATTCACTGAACTAAACAGCTATTCAAAGAATGTTTAGAGTGCCAGCCCTCAAAAAGGAAATACATTGAGTTTACTTTTAGATTTTTGTATTAATGATTTTCTCTTAGAGCAGCCAGTCAGTCGGTGAGCAAACCAAGGTTTTCCAAACTCAGAGAGAACAGATGTTGTTCTGAAGGGCTTGTAGACTGACAGTTGGCTCGATATATAAGATCTTTCTCGCTGTAAATTTGACTGGGAACTCTAGCATCTTAACAAGAGACAGTCGGCACAGTTATATGGAGCTTGCTGACATAACTTTGACTTATCCTGTCTTTTTAAGGTATTAATAAATTGGGTATTATTGAAGACATTCGTCTCCTGACAGCTGGCAGACAGAGAGAGTTTTAAAAACCTGCCTCATCCTGGTGCATCCAAGCTCCTCTTCTCCTTCCAAACAAGGTTAACTGCGCTACTCCTTTTCTGCCACATGTCTATAACCTGTGTTCATGTGGTTGCTGAGAAAACCCTGAGAAACCATGACCTCTGCCAGCCTCCAGTCTAACAGGCATCAAATATGCATCTAAAGGCAGCAGGTCATCTATTAAACATGCGCAATGCTGAGTTCCCAAACAGACTCAAGCACTGCAGGTCCAAATGATGGAGCAGAGAGCTCCTTTTATACCACAGCTTTATTTATTGTACATATTTAGTTTTTCATACATACGTGTAAACGTTAAAAGCAAACATCCCTGCTGCCTTTGTCTGGTAATTGTAATTCACAGCCACCATAGAGAGATACATACATACATGAGAGGACATATCAGTCCACTCAGCCCTGCAGCTTTTAGACAAAGTACAACACCCAACAGTGCAGGGCATGAATAATGCTGGGATGGGGGGATGGGGATGTATTCTATAGACTATTATGTTTTACAGCTGGTTATACAGGACAGGAAATGGGACCGGGATCATGGGCTTGAACTTAACCACATTTAAGTGTACTATGACTTCGCTGAGCCACTAGGGCGACCCATTAATAACAGTAGCCTACTACAGTGGCTACTGTGAGCATTCATCGTGGTTGGGTTGAAAATCCAACAAACACACTGAAATTAAACAATGTTATCTGTGCAGTAGGTCAGTGTTTAATGCTGGGTCGAACTACCACTGACATTTCAATGCTGTACTGTTTGGCAATTTTGACATTCATTCATTCATTCAACCTTTATTAAAACCTTGAGAAATCTTCATGGGCATGTCATGCCCTCATTTTCTATGATGTTGAGAGTGTAATTAAAACAAAATAGGACAGTTAAAAACCGTCACATTCAAGAGCAGAGTAGTTTGTAATCATGGTTTTAAATTGGCCGTTGTGTTGTAAAATGTTCCAAGTGTGTGAGGCACAAACACCAAAAGCAGTTTTCCCAACTTAAGTGTTTGCACGCGGGACTTTAAGCTGTCTAGAATGAATAAAATGTACTGAGTGTCATGCCATGTCAAAATAACGAATCATAGCTTAAACTATTACATTGCGTGTCGACCAGCCAGAGCCGGCAATAAGTGATAAGGCACGCGCCAAAAGCATGGAAGTAGGAAGTAATAGATTACTCCTTTGGTATATGTGCAGCCTCTATTGGTTTCAGTTGGCCACCATGTGTCAATACGTCATCTGGAGTTGAATGCATCAGTGTGGTACATGTGGTTGATGGGATCACAGTGAATCTCCGTTGCATTATGACACTGATCCAAACGACGACCAAACCGACACTGTGACCACTTCATGCTTTAACAGGAGTCTCGGGGAGTGTGTGACACACTCACTGACCAGCAGCCAATTGATCTTTGGTACTGTTGGACAACTCGGTAGAGAAAGTGAAAAGTCCTCACCACAGGATGCATTAAACTGTGCCATACAATATTTTCATAGTGTGCATTGAGCATATAAGCTAGTTTACTAGCAAACTCCCTTGCTTACCTTGTTTTTCTTCTTATTTATTTACATTATCTATTTATTTTCAAGATTATATATATATATATATATATATATATATTTCTTTTTGATGTAGATGTAGACCACTGGGTTCAACACCCATCCAAAATCTCTTTGTTAGTGCAGAAAAACACTTTTTAGGTGCTGCAAAATGTCAAGCCCAAAGACAAGATCACTCGTGACACTAGCCTCATTCACTTTTTACATCCTGCTTATATATAGGCCTTTCCAACTAATTCAGAATGGAGCTTTATTCTCTCAGTTGTGTGCTGAGTCAGATTAAGTTCCTCGGCATACTCTAACGAACCCTGTCCTAAACCACAATGTCACCACTCAATCGAGTCACCGGGGACGAGGACAAGAACAATTCTGAAATAGCAGGCAAAGAAAAGCACCATGATCTTTAAAAAAGCCATTATTGAAGCTCTCTAGCATCAGGAGATGTACTTCCCGTGGAGACTTATTAATGACATGGATATCAAATATTAAGTGAGAAAAAGGCTGATCTTTGTATTCTTGCCAACAAACCTTATCAGAGCGGTCCCCTAAAATCAGTAATCAGACTGGGAAAATAGAAGCTACACAATTATAAAACATATTTGCTTTATTAGTTACTGTAAGCAGAGGTTCTAACAGTCTCCGACACTGATCAAGTATTTATGATTCTCATTCTTGAATTATTAATAACTTTGGCTCTCTTGGACTATTTTTGTCTGGGCGGGCTTCTGTCTTCATTCTTCCTGTCTCCTCTTCATCTGTAACCCTTCCTTTTATCGTCAACTCCCCTGACTCACGCGTCGTCTCGCACACAATTCGCAACATTTCCTTCTTCTTCAACACTAATTTATTTCCCAGTATCCAGAGGATGTCCACATGGAGTTTTTAAATTCCCTGCAATACAACAGCCAACACATATTGTATCTGCTGCGGTGACTTTTCATGACTGACCCTGCAAGAAAAGCCGTTGTAATCCTCACAAGCTACACCTGACGTTCTCTCCGTCGCACCTGTCACACCATGAGGAAATGTTTGGGCGCTTCTCTGAACGGTTTTGACTCAATAAGAAAGGTGCTCAGTTTTGAATCTGGAAAGCATGCAAGAAAGCTGCATTCACATGAGCTATTCTGCTCAGTGAGTATTCCTGGTTATGTCTTAGTTAATCTTTTAATTCATACGTCAAGGACAAATGTCAGGGCAGGTCGACAGCTTGGTTCACAATTGAGTCAACAGCTTGGAATCATTGATCGGATAAAAGAGAGTCAAATAACTGCCGTTGATTGTTTGAAAGGTTGAAAAGCTCTTCATGACACCACTACGAAGAATTCGTAGTGAGAATGTCCACTGTGGGCTGTTACACTGAGGTCACACAGAATGTGTACATTTGGAGATCATTTGCATTAGCTCAATGAATTCAATTCTGTAGATTTGCTGAGAGACCACATAGAAATCCTATTTGAGTTATGCTGAGGGCTATTCATATGGAATGAGATGCTGGAAGAACTGAGGGGAATTGCACAGTATTTATTTTAAAATATTTATACAGAAATTAGAGCCGATTAATCTATTAATCAGTCTGCAACTATTTTGCTAATTAATACTTTTTTTAAATTTTAAAATCCAAACATTCTCTTGTTTTAGGTTCTCAAATGAGGAACAAAATCCGTTTTCCCATGTCTTCGCATTATACTAAATTGAATAATTTAAGGTTTTGCACTGATGGTTATTTGCAGCCCTGATATAAATAGCTCAATGACAGGAAACTTTGAGTGGGTACTTCAATGAAATCATGCTTCTGTTTTGTCTCGACTTCAGGTGATTCAAATAAATATTGTAAATAGCTTTATAGACTAAGAAAAGACCATAGTTTCGAAAAGGGCAGAGTTAAATAGATTCAAACAATACAAGAAATAAGTAAATAGAACTAACGCAACAGAGCTGATTTTATAACTCAACTATAAAGGAAGACATGGGCTTTCTGTATGCTGTTGACCGGATACAGCTCCATACATAAACCAAAGAGTCAACACAGCAATGTGTGTCTGTCACTCTGAGAGGCCGTTAAGCATGTTGCGTGCAGAGAACAGCGCGGGGGAACAGGCCGGTGCGCGTTACGCACGGCAGCAGGGTACCACCTGAACACGTGCGCTCAACGGAAATGAAAGTATAGGCCGACGGGCTCTCTGTCGTGGGTTGAGTTGCCTAATCCTGGCTGAGATGCCCTGAGGGAGGGGTGACTCGGTGACGAGCTATCGGGCTACTTAAGTAGGGAGAAGAGAGAGAGAGAGAGGTGTCCAAGGTGTATGGCCTGACTGTCTGCAGGGATTTACGTGGGACGACAGCTTGGACGAGCAGAGGCTATTTCTGGAGAGGAATTAAGTGTTTAGACGCCACATCAAATCCCGAGAGGAAGAAAGGGAGTTCATCAATACCTTCTCACGTTCAGATATCAATCACTGGCCAGACTCCTCCTGACTACCTGATACTTATTCATACGCTTTTATTTTTGCCAACAGGAAGTTTGTCATAACCACCTGATTTCTTTCCGCATGTGTCTTGAGAGTCTAAAATGCCACATGAAGAAAATAAAGGAGAGATTTCCTGCCACGTTCCGCCCTTGGTCCATCATCACAAGTTCTCGGCTTTTGAAAGCCTTTCCTATAAGTGAAGGTTAATGAAGGTCCTCTTACACGCACTGTTCCATAATGACAGGTGACACAGAATAACAGGCCGCACATCCTGTTTGACATTAAACACAAAGTCACTCTCATTCAATTGGGTAATATAGACAACCTTATCAAATAGTCTACTTTGTGTAAGGGGGAAACTGGAACAGTGTTAGATAAACCTCCACATATAACCGTGACGACACTTCCATAATTTAACAATGTGACAGCACTGCAGAAACGCCGGGGAGAAATTAATCCAGCTATTGATCCAACGCCTCATATTTCACCGATACGACAGTCTTCAGCCTAAAATGAAACTTAATTCTCTTTGATTGTTTCTCTGGGCCAAAGGAGAAAGATTCCATAGCATTATGTATTTAGAAACAATATTTGTCACTTTTTTTTTTTCATCAGCTACTGCATGAAAGCAGTTGCTTGCACGGTGATACATTATGTATGTCAGTTTCTTATGTGACAGATTCAGTAGCCTATAGAGGGACAGATGTTGTGCCAGGGCATCCAAACCCGCTAAACTAGGCCTCTGGACACCTTGATCTTCAAAGGAGCAGTTTGCTTCTTCTTAAAATCAATTCCTCATAATAAAATCTGGTTTTTAATGTAGACTATTAATTGCAAAAGATGAACTTTCTTTTTTAACATAAGGCAATTACGCCTGTAGATTTTAACACGTTCTTGTTGTAATTTGTCCCAGACAGATTTTACATACCCGTATATTTTCCCGAGAGTCTTGGCTGCCACGACTTTAAACCTGTCCGGCCGGATCTCCATCCTCGCGACTCCTGGATCCGACCAATGTGCACTATTTGCACGCTCCCGATTGAGCGCACAGCCTTCTCCTCTACTCCCTCCGCCCTGTTCTTGTCACTCACACATAAAAAAAAAAAAGAAAAAACTTGATTTGACTTGATCGCTAGACTTCTTAGCCCGCAGTTTCCTGTGCACCGGAATCTGTAGTCAGCGACACTGAGATTTAATCTGCGTCAACTGCCTTTGTATGAATTCAACCGAGCAAACATTGTCTGTCCCTCTTTTTCCCAGAGTTCTTAAATTAATGTCCAAATGAACTTCCTCACACTCGTTTGGTCTCCGTTAAGGTTCAGAGCGCGCTGAAAGCAACTTTCGAGAGGATTCGTGGCCAAACGGTGTCTCTGGCCGTGGTCCTGAAACCAGATTACCGCTGCCTGCGCGCTAATCTCTCCAAGTGTGTGTAGTGAGTGGAAGGGAACATGTCACTTCCTTCTTTGCAGCCAGCCGGGCGATTTAAGCACTGACTTTACAAGCGGTGTCTATTCTTGGAGCGACACAAGACTTGAATGGAGACAGTTAGACTAAACACTGTCCGATCGAAGCAGTTCTCAGGTATTTATAGGCGGGAGGGGCAGGATGCTCCTGGGACGCTGCCATGTTTCCTGGGTTGGATTGACGATTATTTGAGTTTCAATGACCGGCGATTCTTTAAAAACAAACAAAAGTAAAACACTATACATCAACAGGAACAGAAAACAAGAAAAATGGGATTTAAAAAACGACAGGTTGTAGATTTTGTGGTTCTACCTTCTCGTTTTAGCAATATGTCCTGAGTGTCATACCAACATTTCCAAGAAGCTAAATAAAAAATGAATAGCAGGGAGCTGCTTTCTCAGAGCGAGCTAAGCAAAGAAAACATACAGACCAACTGATATAGAGATGACTGTATATTGAAGTATCCGAAAGGGATAAAGAAAATGGACCAAAAGGTCAGTTAAATATTTACATTATATTAGTGACGTGCAATCTATCGAGAATAAAGTCTTTAAAAGAAAAATATAACATTGCAGCTTTGTGCATTTCCCCTTCTTCCAACTGCAATGTGTCATCTATAAATTGGTTCAAAATGTTACTGAATGCATAACCTGACGGACTTTAATTTTTTTTTATCATTGCATTGGAAGTGGTGCACACGCCATTTTTTTTTATTGTGATATCTTAAACCTATGGTGTAGCTGAGTCTGGAATAAAGGTCCATGAAAGAAACAGGCAATAGGCCGTTATTACAGAGGACATCATGACATATCACTGTAGGAAAATCCCAGATGTAAATAAAATAATCAATGATGGCTTAGTCCCATTTATTGTGCATGCCGGCTCACTGTCAAGGATAGAGCCACCATTAATGTTGGTAACATATTATTCTAATTCAATTGTATAGGGACTGTAATTAAAAATGAGCAAGACAACATTTCGTTAATAACTGGACAGTTTATTTTCTTTCTAGTACCATACTGGACGACTACTGAAAGGGTGGCCGGTATTAGATAAGGTGCAGGAAAGATCTAGTTTAATGTAGCTATGCAAGTGTGCATATGACTGCAGTTTATACATTAGGTTGTGATGCAAAGGCAAATGTTTGGGGCAGATTTGGTGATGCGTGTGTGCAGTTAAAGGGCAACAGGTCAGGAGGTCTATGGTTTAGCAATAGTATCTGACAGATTTGACAATTGCAGCAGGTGGTGGATATACTGTACTTCTGCTATCACATCACAGGACTCTCCCGTATATTCTACCAACAAATGCCGCTGAAGAAGTCCCTTAATTTCTAAAAGGGTGGCGTATGTGCAAAGTTGTTTGCCTGCAAAAATGAAAACTTTGATGTGTATAGATATTGGAAAACAATGTGCACATTCAAATAACAACTACATTCAAAAGTCTCGTACCGCTAGCTAAGCATTCGACATCAGATACAGCTCTTCTCCAGATCCCTTGCTGATATAGTTCTCAGGGAGTGAGAGGAGAGGAAGCGGGGAGGGAAGGGCATGGCAGAGGGAGGAGGAGACAGGCTGGGTGGCACAGAGATGATGGATGGAGTGTCCGAAAGCGAGCCATAACCAGGTTTCTGCACAGCTACCGCACTGGAGCCAGCAGAGGCGTAGAAAAATACGGGGGGATGGTCCATGGGGTCCGTGGTTAAATCTGCAGACAGACAGATACATAAGGAACCGCTCTTGAAATTTGTAGATATTTAACACATTTGCTGTTCGACTATTAAAGCTACACATCATTTATGAGTGCCTCCAATTTACAGCAAAAGGAAGGGCTTGAGTTCCAGGAAGTCATTTTGCAAATCCATGAACACATTACAGCATGCTGATGTTTAATAACTCAGCCTGCCTGTGATGCTCCACAACAAATGATACCCAAGAGACGAAAGAGGAAAAAGATCCGATGTTGACAGGGCCAGTCGTCTCTCGGTGTCTGCTGACGCGGAGACTGTATTTCAATCTTGAGCTTCCTTTTATCACTCTGACAGAGACGTTTCTATGCTCATAGCTGTCACTTTTGTTTTCTCCGCAGTAGTGCCACTTTGTAGTGAAGGCACATATGATATCTTTATTTTTTTTTTACTGACAGTCCCTGCAGGCAATGCGATTTGGCACCAAGGGGCTGCAGTTTCCTCAAGTGTAAGATCGAAAGACGCTCTAATGCAACAAGAATTGAATAAGTCTATTTATCTACCTGAGTCATCGTTGAGCTGGGTGTGCAGGTACTGGTGTTTGGTGTAGAAGTTGTTGTAGATACAGTACACTGCAGTCATCAGAGCGCAGGTTCCCATGGCCGCAGCGATGAACAGACCCACTTTGGCGTTATCTTTGTCTACACGGGCATCTGTGGAGGCACAACAACCATCAGTCAGACATTTCACACCCAAATTCTGTGTGTGTGTGTGTGTGTGGAACAGTTCTGACATTGACATTGTGCACGGCAAATATTTGCAGTTGCGCTGAAAAAACATTTCTTTGAACTGCACTTACACGTTCGCTTTGCATTCAAGTGAGTGGTTTCCTCTTTTCGGAGTAGGTCTCGTATGTGTGGGGCAGGAAGAGGAGGAGGGGGGGGGGCTGCCGGGGCCTGATGGCCGTTGATCTCCTGCTCGGACTGCAGGGTACTCTGGGAGCTGCTCAGTGGAAACGCCAGCAGCAAACAGAGAACTGCAAGGACCGCCATGAGGCTGATCCACTGATAAGTCTGCAAGTGAATATTAAGACACTTGCAAAAAATATAATCAATGACAACAATAGAATTTGTATCTGAATGTTTTCTTCTTCTTTTGGTATATACATGCTTTCTCTTGGCTGCTAACAGGACTGGCTGTGGACTTTAATAACAGTAAAAACAATATTGCAGTTGTTTTTCATACTCCACAGCTTGTTGTTCATAGATATACTTTCTATAAAAAAATTACTAATCTCTCTATACTATACGCACACACAAAAACACTATCACTGTTATTCAAAGGCTAGTTTTAACATTTTAAAACTGATCTCATCATGAGTACTTACCTGAGGTTGAAGCGAGTAGGTTGTGTTTCTCTCCGCCTCTCTGGCTGACTGATGTGAGGCTGCATCCAAGACAACTGGCCTCCCCAGACACCTAATATTTCCAAGGGCACACCTGAGAGTACTCTTCCACTCACGCATACACACATGTAGAAAATGTAAGTGTTATGTTGAGACAGACAAAATCTTTCAAAGGCTTTCCTTCAGCAGCAGTTCTGCTTTGGCACTATGTTTTGTATTCTTTGAAATATGTTCACGTTGAAAAGATAAACTGGGGAGAGGGCCGGGGTTGCTTGCTCGTGACAAGTGAAATCAGATTTTAGGTTTAAGTTACTTAAATTACAACAAAAGTTGTGGTGAGGGGGAAAAAGAGCAATCGAACCAAATAAGCTTAAGTTGAAATGTTTTTGCAGATCACACAACCTGCTGGAACACAAGGGTATTAAGCAAAGAGATGCTGACATGAGTGCAACAGAGCTCCCTGCTGACACATAAATGTACTGATTCAATCTCATGATTGTTATGAGGTCCCAACTGCTATTATGCAAAAACTAAATATCTTTAAGATTTACAAATAACAGAATTCAGCAACCTGAGGGATTCTCAGGACAAAGAAATCAAATGTTATTTTATTGTCAAAATAACGTATCCACCCATTTACTGATAATGGATCAGATGGATGCCAACCTGCCAATTATGTTTATAATCAAGAGGATTTTCCCATAGATGCATAGACCTATATTTCACTCTGTTGATGGAAACAGATAACACACACACACACACACACACAGACATCTACATTACCTCTACTTGTTGTCCTCCTACACAGCTCTTCAGATGTTTTACCTGAGCAGAAGTCTTGACATGCTTCAACTCTCCCAAGCAGATAATGGTGCAGATGGGCGGCAGCACTCAGCAAGTGATGGAAGTAGGTTTTGGTGGAGAGCATGTTTGCAGAAATACTCCACAAAGTTGTAACTATGCACATTATTAAGTATACTTTTGAAAGGAAACAAATGTCATAAAAATCATTTTCTAAAAATCTGGATTTTTGGAGTGAATACAGATGTCAGTCAAGGGGTCTATTTGAAGCTAAATATAGAAGACCATTTAACAAGTCAATACTTAAGACCTTGTCGGGTAAAGTCTGAGCCATGTTTGAATTGCAAGCTTACGCCACATGTCAAACAGCAAAGATTATTTCAATACAGTCATTCTGAAAGAAAGTTTTTAATACAATTTCAAATATATTACATTTTCTCACAAATTCATTTTATGCAGACTTGCAGACTACATGAACGATTAAAAAGGGACTTTAAGTCTCTCTGGTCGGCCTGATTAAATGTGAAGGCACTTCACTTTGATACATATATACACACAACAACATGAGGACGATTCACACTGACAGTAACTCACTGAAAATGGAAAATAAACTACACCTTTGTTTTCAGAAAAATGACCTTGAGAAGACAATGATGACCAAGCATTTAAGTAAAAAAAACAAACATACTTTTTACAAAATAAACACATTACTTCTATCTTACACTACACTTAACTCTGATGTAAAGGAGTAGCTTCATCCAGCCTGTTTAAGACAAACTAGTTTCCTCCTAAACCTGAGCTTAACAAAAAAATGTATCATCAAAATTTCTAATTTACAAATAAAAAATAACAGAAAATCCCACGCATTTTCAATTACATTTGTTCATGAAGAATTTCTACAAATACTTTATACATATTTACATTACAAGCGTTAACCTTAATATTTGTACCATGCCATCACTTGACAAACTTTTTACCAATATAAAAATGTTAAAATAGCAATCGCCACAAAGCTAAAAAACGCGAGTGCTCTGATTCAGTGTAGCAGTAGTTGGATTCCAGGTTGTTTGGACAGAGAATGTTAACATATGGGACATGTGGAGTATGAAATGCAGTGCGCTGCTGCAGACACAAAGCATACTTACAGCGTAATATCAAACTGTAGAACCGAAACAGTGACTCTGGTGTTTGTTTGAGCTGTGGTGAGATGTATTGAAGAGCACTAATACCGTACCCAATAGCTGCATTTAATCTCAACATAGCTGAGTTTACTCTTTCCTGACGTAACAGTCTCATAAACAACTGCAGTCGATTAGCTCTGAGGAAAATATGTCATCGTGGCAAAACAGAGCGGATACATTTCCTCTCTGGCCGTCCTGATTATCCTCCACTGAAGTACCATCCAGCGACAGCACAGGTGCAGCTCACGACTAGACAAACATGTGCTGCTTCACACACAAGTACGGTGATGCTGCCATTTTCTGGTATTTAATTCAGGCTCAGCTGATTTTTACAAGTCACAATCTTAAGCACAGCCTAAAATAATTGTCATAACAATTGTAACATTCACTGTGATGTAAAACAGATTACAAAGTTGGATCAATGGACAAGTGTCTACGGCTAATAATGAAACTTAAGACACATTCTTTTTGATGATTTGAACAATTAACAGTCATTGGAAATGCTACCTTGTGTTACCAAGCAGCAAGAAATTGTTTATTCCATATTTTCCAAATAGAACACTTCTTTTAAAAGTTGCACTTGTTGAAGCAGGTTTTTTTTCAGTTTTGTCCTTTGGGTATTTTGGAAAAAATAAAGTGGAAAAGCTTTTAAATATTAAAATAACCTTTGTCCCACCAAAATTGGTGAGATTCAATTGTCCTTTAAAACGGCACGCTGAAAGTTGGATTGCGTGCCGATGGTCCTTTTCCACCGTGTAACGTCATGTCCGTGTGTTTAGGAAAAGGACGCAGCGGTACCGTTCTTTTGACTCAGTTCTGACATGTCAGTCATCGGAGTTTCACAGTTGTCATCGGTGCTAACAATGCGGTACTGACCGGTCTCTGTTCCTCTGGTTGTTTGCTTTGTCCTGTCCTGCAGAACAGCATGGATGAAGGCCACTGGGACGGGCATCACAGCAAATATGATCAGTAAAGCCAAAACAGCCAGAGCCCAGCCTGGGTACTCCAGGTACTCATCAGAACCCTGAAGAAAAAGAAATCAAACAATCACTCAAAGACTGAAACTATTCTGCTTCACATATTCAATGTGAACGAAGAGAAACACACCATCAACTCCTTCCTACAGGTTAGGAAGTACCATGTGCCGTAGTTTTTAAAGGCTGTTTGCCTTAAACATGTCTTACTGTTAAGAAGTTTTCAGACTCGACTGTACTGAACAAACTCCATAAACAGAACTGCACCAGTGCAACATCCCATCTTAAATAGCTTGGTTTCTTTGGAGCATTAACACGTTACAGTTGTATTCTTTCCATTTAATACAATTATCCATACCTTCTCTTGGTTCCATGCCAAATACATGGGGCGTTTGATGAACATGCGAATGGTGGTGGCGCCCAGCAGCCCCAGCATAGCAAGCAGGCAGATGTATTTCCACAGGTACTTGTAAATCGCATGGGGACGCCAGCCCAGCATCGCCTCAATGTCATCAAGGAACCTTCAGGAACACAGAGCGGGAAACTCTCACAAACACATTTTTCAACAAACTCTGATTAGACTCAGAAGGAAACGGATTCGTTGACATTTACATGGAATTTAAGCTTTCTAGAGATAAGACAAATAGACCTCACCTATCAGCTCCATATAGCCAAGACACGCTGAAGGTCTCAAAAGCCACCACAATGATCAGGGGCAGAGTGGCAGAGTAATCATCGAACATCATCACAAAGTAGTTCCCACACCGCTGGGTGAAGAGCAGGCCGATTAGAAAGCCCAGGATGCAGCTGAAAACTGCAACAACATCAACATGTAAGGGTGAAGCACAACTTACAACAAGATACATTTGTGGATTATCCTGAATAACTTCAGAAGGTAAATGTATTCATTTTGCTCCCTCTCTGCTTAAGGTGTCAGTATGTAGAAGACACCAATAAAGATAATCTAGTGAGGTAAGACATTACTGTCCAACAGCACTTAATGGGAAACATACAGTTCTCACTGACAGTGTTGTTTGGAGCATTTAGCAAATAGTTCCATCTCACTTTGATAAAAAAAACGTGATGGCCGAGGTGAATAAAAAGGCGCTTACTTGTGAATTTGGTCTTATTGTTGGCCAGAGTTTTGAAGCGGTCAGTGAGTGGGGCGAGGATGCCTTCCATAGTGCCAAACATGGTGCTGAGTCCCAAGTTGAGCAGCATGAGGAAGAAGAGCGCTGACCAGAAGGGGCTGCCAGGCAGGAGTGACATGGCCTCTGTGAAGGCAATAAAAGCTAGGCCTGTGCCCTCCACTCCCTGAACACAAGCAAGAGTGCCAGCTTTGGCTTAATGTACAGTACACAAAATACAGGAAAGAAAGAAAGCATTGACATTCGTCCTAAAACTCAATATTTACCTGCTGCATCTCTTTTTCCAGGTCACAGTCTGTTAAATTGCCAGGGACCTTATCTCCATTCTGTTTAAACCAGTCCCTGTAGTCCTCTAGAGCCACAGAACCGGGATCAGAATAGTTGAAGCTTGGCATCAGGTTTGTGTCCACATTACTGCTGAGAAACTGCTCTGATAACTGCTTCATATTACTAAGAAAAGAAAAAGACAAAACACAACTGTAAACATGCAGTTTATGACTGAGTTAAATAAAACTCAGAAGAAGCTGTGCTACCCGTCGTTAGCCAATAGAAAAACGACATGTCGGATGCTGCTGGCCCCAGAGGGCATACCACAGTCCGTGCCGTTGTGAGGGACAAATCTGTTTTGATTAAAACATACCTGGCCACACATGCCAGGGCCTTGTCTTTGGCGCGGAAGCCGAGCACAGCAAACACCACCAGAGAGGCGAGCAGAGATGTGAGGAAGTTTATGGTGGCGACGGTGAAGGCATCACGGTGGCAGTTGTTGTTCTTGGGATTGTAGGAGGAGTAGGCGATGATGGACCCGAAGCCAAGGCCTAAAGCAAAGAAGACCTGAGTGGCTGCCTGCCGCCACACCTGAATGTCTGCCCAGATTTCCAGCTAGAAATGCATAGAGGGAACGACAGGTGCGTCAGGGAAATATTCATATCTGCCTCGCTTTTCTACACTTAACCTTTTGCATTTTATGCAGGTACCTTGGGGTAGAACATGTAGGCGATTCCATCCAAGGCCCCATCCAACATGAGCCCTCGGACGAGGAAGCAGAACAGCACCACGTAGGGGAAGATGGAGGAGAAATACATCACCTAGGAAGTGTCAAAGAAGGATTATTACCACAGACGTCAGTCAGTTGGTCCTCTTCACAGAGTCCACTGTGGACAAAACGTAGTTCTCAGAAACTGCGGGAGCGTGAGCCGCAGAGTTCATAAGCGTGGTACCGTCTGACTTCCATTGCTCCTTAAGTTGTGTTATTATGGTAAGGATGGCGAATGGCATTACCATGGCTTTGCCTCTACAACTGGTGTTACTGCAGTCTTGAGAAGGCAGGACTGAGCAGAGGGGGATTCAGCTGGTTGTAATCTGCAACCACACCACTCGATGCCACCAAATCCTACACACTGTCCCTTTAAGTGTAAAGCCCGCTGCTTGTCATACACTGAACATATTGCCTTTGTAATAGAGATGATTAAGGCAGTAATTGTGTTAAACACCTGACGCGAGACTAAGCCGTGTTAAACTTCCTCTCAGATATTAGCTTTAACTCGATCAGTAAATCCTTATTTCCACACCAGTGTGTTTGACCCAGGCAGGGTTCAATTACTGTGTTTGTTAAGTAAACATGAACCACCATTTGGTAACACAAATGTCACCTGATAGAACTTTAGTTAAAAGCTTTGCTGTTCACTATAATGTATAGATCTACAACAGGCTGCTGTGTTTGGGGAAAACAAACAAGACAGTATTAAATAAATGCTGATTTACAAAACACCAAATACTTTAAGACTTACGGTCAACGTTGCTCCTTGAAGTGGGTCAACACCTAAACCAGACATTCCAGAGAGATTACATCACCCGCACTAACCCTGAAACCTAAGCCCAACACATGACGGGAATTTGACCAAAACAAAGTAGCACAGGATACAGGATTTTTTGTTTTCCATCAAGGGCTTCGCTTCACATTTAACAATTCACTGGTCCCCAAAGTAATCGCTGTGATGGTAATCAACTTATTGCCACGGTTCAAATTGAATATTGTCTTTTAGTGGAAACAATTAAACATATTTCTAATACCACACAGTCCCTAAAACTGTAAATGTTCTATGTAATAACTCGTCCAGTAAGTGACTGGAAAATGCTTCAGTCCAGTAGTTACAATGTTCCTGATAATCACAACTCTACTGAAACATCTGAGAGCTGTTCAACGTAAGTAACGCTTCCTTGATAGTCAAAGCAACAGCTGGAGCCACAACAGACCACACGGTTACCTTGACAGAGCTCTTGATTCCCTTGAACATTCCCAGGCACACGACGGTCCAGGCCACCAGCAGACAGCAGACGATGTAAGGGTTAAAAGAGCCCGTGTCATCGATGGAGTCTGTGATATCCAAAGCCTTGCGGTACCAGAAATACGATGTGGGGGAGCTCTTCTCACATTCCTTTACTGGTGTAAAAAGAAACAAAAAGAGGATCAATTACTAGTCTTACATGTGACTCAAAGCAAATACATTTACAATTTTAAATGCTTTAGGATGCGAATTCAAATGCACGATAGTTTTTATTTTGTTCGTCGTGTTTTCCTTGTGCTCCAACTGCATTTTGTTGTGCATCCCTGTGTTGCACGATGACAATAAATGATCCTTGAATCCTTGATTCAGTTTTTTCACCTCAATGTTGTGTGTTTACCTGTTAAATTCCCCTCTTTTGGACACTGTTCCCAAGGTAAAGGGTACTGGAACGAGTTCCCGAGATAGAAAAGGCTCCACGCGAGGATCACATTGTAGTAGATGGCCACAAAGAAACACACCTGAGGACATTTGAGAACAAAAAAATGATGTTTTTAAGAGTAACTGTGCCATTTATCATACGTCAGGAAAGGTGAAACAAAAAAGTATCTATATGGTTGTGGTGTCAGTCGAAGAGATAAAAGAGAAAGAGGCCGCATGTTTTAACTAGACAGACGATAATGCAACTAAAGTCTCTCTGCAATTACTTCCTAATTATTTAGTAAAATTGGATAAATTTGCCATTGTTTCCTCATACAGCAATGTGCTTTTCTAGACGGTGGAAAAATTACTGACTGGAGCACAAAAATGACACCTGGAATACATTTCCCATCATATAGTGAACAATCTAGTAGTTTAACAAACAGTCTCTTACCACACAGCTGGAGTAGCCGATCCCTGCCAGCCTGGGGGAGATGTACTTCCACACGCCGATGCTGCCCTGTCGGATGGCCTGACCGGCTGCCAGCTCCAGGAAGAACAAGGGAATGCCAATGATCAGCATCAGCAGCACATACAGGAGGAGAAAAGCTCCTGAGGAGAAGAGGGGACCAAATGAGCATCTTCAATGGTCGTGCAACTTAGTCTACTTGGTGATTTATTCAAACACACTGAGTAGATTGATTGAAATCACAGGCGTTATCTTCACATTATTTTTAACAGTATTATTAATAGGCTGATATTTATACCAAAATAGGCTATATAGGGAGAAACCAAGCATTTGTATGTAAAATAAGACGTTCAACACCCCCATATAGCCAAAATGGACTGATCCTTTGTTTCATAACCATCTTCTGCAACTGTGACTGAGTTTGACAGTTAATTCAGGCTCCGTAAATCAAATAGTCAACTATTCAGTGTCACCCCTAGTTGTATCCATCTTTCAGGGCAAATAACACACATTAAGATCTTTTGCATTTTTTAAATCTACAGAAATGCAGAGTGCCTTAGTAGCCGAATGGTTAAACGTCTGGCACATAACCTCAACGTCCCAGGTTCAATTTCAGCCAGAGAGCTTTGTTGCATGTCACACCCTCTCTCTCTCTCTCTCCTTTCCTGTGTGCCTCTACATAAGGCGCCAAAGACAAAAGTCAAACTTGTGGCTGTCGGAACCAAAAATTGATTAATTCGTTGTGGACTGTGCAAGAGATAACATAGTTTCCCCTGGCAACAGATGTGAGGCAGATGTTGGAACATCAGACTTCAGAGCAACAGTGTTCAGTGCTGTTGACAGATAGTTAATACATATAAACACAACTTGTTAAAGTGTGTGCTGCTCATTTGAAGACAGGCAGTAAATGCATGCTCTTTCTGGGACTCTCTCTCTTTCATCACATGCTCGCCCTGTGATGACGACGCTGACTAAATAAGCTACGCACAACATCTGTGTTTGGTCCCATGGGACCCAAAAAGGCCCCAATCCCCTGAAAGCCATCTAACATGGACGACAATAATAATAATAATAATAATAATAATAATAATAATAAGTACTCACCCCCTCCATTTTGATGGCACAAATATGGAAACCTCCAGACGTTGCCGAGCCCAACGCTGAATCCCACCTGAGCCAAAAAATAGTCTATTTTACTGTTCCATCCTGCTCGAGCGACGGGCTCAGACGAGGCCGGCTGGCCGTCCTCGTCAGCGTGGCCGTCGACCTCAGTGGTTCCGGTCTTGTCATCGTCTGTTGGCAGGGGCTGCTTCTCCATCTAACACAGGAGGGGCCAAAAGACAAAAAAAGAAGAAAGACAGCGGTAAGAATGTAGAACGTGAAGGAGCACATAACCACTGCATTGATTATGCATTACTGTGTCTGATCATCCATGATGACCAACACAGTTATTCTTGATTCTTTATAGATTCATGGCAACTTTTCTACAGCTGAAGAATTGTTTTTTGGGATGCTTCACAGTCATTTGTGGTGTACCTCAACATATTTACTCTGGTGCGGTGTGTGTTGCCAATATATTAGGTACACTTAGCTTAAACTGCTGCAGTCTAATTCAACAGCCCTGTAATCAATCCTACCTGCATTGATATCTTCATGCTTTATGTAGTTTAATGTGTAATTTTGGATGTTGTGGTGTTGATGGATTGAAATGTGCTAGAATAGAAAGTGCTTCCAATCATTTGTATTATCGAGGACTTGTTTCATGGGGCAATGCATTAGACTGATAAACTGTCTTCTAAGTGTACACAACAGCAGCCGGCTGTCCCACCAGGTGGTCTATCACAATTGATTAGAACAGGTGGGTCCCATAAACATACGTCCCCGCATGCGTCACATTACTTAGAGCAGTTATTTCCTAACATCACGTCTAAGATACAATCAGTTGTAGCCTCTTCGCGCGGTAGCTGAAGCTACAACATGCTTCGCTAACACCCCCGACCGTCTGTCTTTGTCTCGACTCACTGTGAACACAGACAACACACACTTCTAAATAAACCAAACTGACCTTGTCACCGACAACTGTCGCACGAGGTAGAAGAAACACCGGAGATGGCAGAAAACGGAGAACGTGGGCAATAATGTTTTAGTCTTCCGTCCTAAAAAGAGGAAACGTGCACGTGTGGCTGCTGCTTGGTCTGTCACTTTGTTATCAGCCACGTCGCGAGCGGAGTTACTCTTCTGTTTACTTTTGTCAAATTAAATGCAACATGTCGGACACTTTGATGCCGATATTTAACTCCAACTATAAAAATATATAAAGTCAGATGAATGTGTTTTGGACTTCTCTTACCGCCCGCGTGTTCTCGCGGTTTATTGGTGTAACCGTGTTTTTGTTTCTTCCGCGTGAAGAGAAGTATGGCTTACAATAAACCGCACCCCTACGATGCAGACAGTGCTGCTTTCAGGGACTGCAGGACATTTACTCAAATCAACCAATATCCCGTTGCGAGCGACTCATAGTTATTTTCCTTAAACCAAAATATTAATTATCTATTATGATCTATAAATCTATTAGTCGTCTACAAAATGATGTGAAGTATTGAAACGTATCCATCAGTTTAATGGAGCTAAAGGTGAACATCTTAAAATTGCTTCTATGTTCAACTAACCATCCAATCCAAGACCTATGTCTAAAACCCCCAAATATATTTAATTCACAGATACACAGATTAATTCACACCCGCTCCCGCGACCACATCACCCCTGTTCTCCAGAACCTCCACTGGCTCCCCGTCCCACAACGGATCCAATACAAAATCCTTCTCCTCACTCACAAAGCCCTCCACAATCAGGCCCCCTCCTACCTCACTGACCTGCTCCACCACCACACTCCATCCCGTCGGCTCCGCTCCTCTGATGCCAACCTCCTGTCTCTTCCACTCAGGACCAAGCACCGGACATGGGGTGACAGAGCCTTCTCCATATCTGCCCCCTCCCTCTGGAACTCTCTCCCCAAACACATCCGAGACTGCACTGACCTTTGTATATTCAAATCACAAATCAAAACTCACCTGTTCAAAACTGCTTTTAATGTGTGACCACTATTGTGTATTTTATGTTTTTAGTGTATAGCTTTTATATATGATGATTTTAATGTAAAGTGTCTTTGAGTTTTATGAAAAGCGCTATATAAATAAAATGTATTATTATTATTATTGTTATTATTATTATTATTATTATTATTATAAAAAAACAGCAAATTATCACCTTTGAAAAGCTGCATGAAATCAGTGAATGTGTGTCTTCTTCAAATTAATTACTAGAGAAAGTACTCAATTAAGTTCAAGTAAACACAATGGTGAGCTGGTTATGTACAGTACTCAAGTAAAATATACTTCGTTATTTCCACCATTGCTATAAATCTGTAGGGAAAGGGAGCTAATGCCAAATCGACAGCCATTTGCAGCTTTTAGCTCGTTTTAAATAGTCCTATTGATTCAGTCCCAGTGGCTGTCATTTATACAGGAGGAGCATGAACGCAGCATAAATCCAAACAATGATCCTCTTAAAAATGTAACCTATTTTCCGACACGTGTGACTGATGCTGCCAGGCTAAACCCCCAGTTTAAGAGTGGAATCGATGCCCCACCGTTCTTTCATCATTTGTTGTAGCATGGATTGTCTTTAATTAACATGGCGACAAGTTTGATGGAGTAAAGTTTAACCATTTGATCTAACTGTTACGTTTCATGGATTGTCAAACATACCACGTGGAAAATATACACTTTCTCCACCACACCTGAACGCGTCTTTACTATTACGCTCAGATATTCCCTGTTTCAGTTCAATTTTAGTTCTGGAAAAATAAACGGAAGGCGAGGCTGATGCAATAGTCGCTTCCTGTCATCGAGCATGGTTTTCTGTTGGACTGGAATAATTTCACATCCTTGAAAATATTAATTTTTAGATTCAGCAACATTTTACACTACTTTTTTTTTCATCAAAGTTATCAGTCCCATTTCCAGTATTCATCAAAGTTAACGTTCAGTGTCTCTGGACTGCACCGCACAGTCACACACACACACACACGCTGCACATGCCACGTATGCTTGTTTTGGGGGCAAATACAACACGCAGTCTGCAGTCACAGTCACTATCAACTTATTATTAAAGTATAATACATGCACTTGGAACGCCGTATAGTTGTCAATAAGTGAAAAATACCTTGTGGTATGAAATGATAGAGATCCTTGAGAATATTCCAATGTCCTAAAACCAAAGTCAAGTGGTTCTTCACTTGCTTGCTGCCACTTCAGCCGACTCCGCCTATCTCCTCTATTGACGGTTACAACGGAGGCTTGCCCACCTCCATATAAAGGACTGTTATGAAACTTGACACCCAACTTCTTTCAACTCCATATGTATGGTTGCCCCTATCCTCTATGCACGTGGTATAACGATGTTTAGTTCATTTCCAATGTGCTATGACGTCGCTACTATCACTAGCTGCCCGGTGTGTCTGACACAAGGCAATTGTCCAATGATATCAGTTGTTGACCTTCCCCAAACTGCTGGAATCATACTCTGGTGAGTAAAACGTGTTTCTTTATCCATATTATTTACTTTAAAATAGTTTAGGCTTATATATACTACGCCTAAAACATACGCTTCCCACAGGTTGCTAAAAGTTCAAAGAGAAAATACAGAGCACATGACCTTAGTTTTGTTTTTGTAGCCCTGCACAATTTTCCTATATGTTTTCCAGTGTGACATATGTGGACTTGTTAATATGTAGGTGTAGTAGGAAGGAGAATGAGTCAATATTGTTTATCTCTAAGGTGGGGTGAGACTGGGCAGGACTGCAAAAAGTGACACACCTCTGCTCTATAAAGGCTTTCAATTCCAAAGAGAGGAGAGTGAGTTACACTGAGGTACAGAACAGGTTTTACTATTCGTAGAAACACACTCACACAGCTGTTAACACCAGGAATAAAATACCGGAACCCTATCAACCAAGGTACGTTGATCATTCATTTTCTTATCATCACTCTCTGTAGCAGTCAGAACTTGTAACATTTACTTAACTCTTAAATTCATTTGTACCACATGTACAGTGACAGTGAATCAGAAACTGCATTGAAAGCCGTAGCGAAACTTTGTCACATGTTTGACACGTTTCAATACGTTGACTTTGTCTAGTGATGAATTCTGTGAAGTAATTTGTCAAGCTACTAGGCAAAGTAGCCACTGCTAATTCAATATCTGCTTATGGGATTTTACTGAAATCAAAAACTGAATCGTGGGTCATGTGCCCATTGCAACACATTTCTATTATTTTTTCAAAGTTACAGTTAAATGTGGCATTTTCTGTACCATATCAGCGTCAGTCAAGATCTTAAAATGCATTTCCACTTATAAACAGTGTGCACAAATTGCCATGCTAAAAAGGGTCAGACTTTTATTTTGAAATACTATATTATTACATGAGTATGACACCAACCACACCAGTTTGGCTCTTGCTGTAAGCCCAAATAAGATGGAAACTATTTTTGGGCAATTATTTGTTAATGAAACCGGTCTTAAGGAAATGTAAGTGATACTGGAAGTTAGCTCCCTTGATACCAGTGATTCCAGTTGGCCATTAATGACCACTGAGCAGCAGAGAGATTGAATGGTGACATGCTGTCAGACTGGTCGGGCAGCTTACACACTCTCATAGCGTAATCCTATTGAAGCAGAGGCTGATGTAGACTCAAATAGTGGAAGGGAATATTTGAATGAGGATGTTGCTTTCGCATGGTGCTGGTTAAGACTTGTTCGTTTCAGAGTAAGACAATCCAAGATTAAACTGCTGCCTGCCTTAACACCATCCGTACCAGTCAAACTGTCTGGGTGGGACAGCACCCTTTGTAACTCTGAAACTAACTTTGTAAATGTTTTTGTGATCCACTCTCTCCCGCTGTGTATTCGTAGGAAGCTGCTCTAGCTTAAACCTCTCCATTTTCTTCACACCAGACCAGAGGATGACAAACATCTCACGATATCTTGTCAACGTAAGTCTTATCTGTGGCGCACACACCTTTTCCGTCACAGTGATATTTAAAGGCGCCATTTGCCTCAAGTCCTCATCCTTCTCTCTCCCTGCCTGCAGCACCTGCTGACCTACTCGCTCCAGGACGGGGATGTGCAGAATGTGGAGGAAGCCCGGACACGTCTCTCCGTCCTGGCTCAGAACAAAAAGCTGTGGAGTCAACAGATGTACCTGGATGTCGGAGCAGAAGCCATTCATCTCCGAGACACACAGAGCAAGGTGAGAACAGATGCATTATGGTCAATAATTAGGCCTGTACATTGTGAGCAATTAAATGCAGGAAGATGAGATTTATATAAGTGCTTATCACTGTATATTTGCATACATGATGACCTTCAGTTTTATCTACTCGTGCAGGACGAGCTGGAGGAGTACTCTTTCAAATCCATCCTGCGCTGCGAGGCCATCAACACAGAAAAACACTTCCCATCCCTCCTTCTGTTGGTCTGCCAAAGTGCAGAGCAACAGAAGCCGGACATTCACTTCTTCAACTGCGAGACAGTGAAGGTGAGTAATAACACCTGAGCAGCTTCACCCAGGCCATCCCTCCTGACTCAGCGTGTCAGTGTGTATCATCAGCCTGGTTCAGGTTTTACGAGTGATGCCACAACCTGATTTGCATTTCCCAGGCAGAGCAAATCTGTGACGACATTACACACGCAGTTTCGGGTTCCTCTACCAGCAGGACTAAGAAGCTCTCTGATGCCCTCAGGTACAGTGAATGTCATACTCACAAGACAAACACATCCGTGGAAAAACATCTAAATGTCTCTCGAGAACACTGTAAAACTGAAAACCATTCATTTGATATTAGTTCTCCATGAGTATTCAAGTTTATTGTATGTGCCCAATTGTCTTATTGTGGTTTTAATAGGAAAAAGTGTGTCTCTAGTGTCTGTAAGCATTTATATTGTATGGGAGGAGGTTCATGGGCAGCCAAACAACAGACAGGCACAGATAATACATGACCATTCAGACCAATTAAACTGTTTGCATTTCTCCTCTTTCTTACGGCCCATTATGTCATATTTTCCACTGAATCAAAGCAGGCTGGTGTCACCGTCCACCTGTGTGTGTGTGAGAGAGAAAGAGAGACAGAGAGAGAGAGAGAGCGAAACAGAGAGAAACAGAGAGAGAGCGAGGACAGAGTAAACAGCTGAGAGAGAGAAAGACCTGTTTTACCGGTTTCCACATAACTTAGGAAGGTGTAACAGAGATAACGAGGCCATTGTGACAGAAAGCAGAGAGAGCAGAGGAGGGTTGACGGCGGCGGTGTGCATGCTCACGGCCTACACGGATTACCTGCTTTGAAAGACATTCTCTTTAAAAGGACGTGTGAAGGACAGGCAAATGTGGTAAGACGGACAGACAACTGTGTTTCTGCGTTCAGATTCTGATTCAATCAAGCGACTGTAAAGTTCGAGTCAGCACTCTCACAGGTGTTTGCATATTTTGCAAGAGTATCGGCAAACATACAATACCACGTCCTCGGATTGTTGCTACCTGATTTGTTTAAAAGGAGAGTTTTGCATTAAAGCACATTGTTGCGTGTGATGTAGGATATAGCCCACGAGAACACACAGTCTGGAATGTTTACTGTAATTTCAGAGGAATAAGGGCCGCAGGATTGAATTTCAAAGGCATCACATTATGTCTATTGATAGAGGAGTGCGTTGTCTGGCTAGATTCACGAATCAAAGATGTCCTCCTGTTGTAAGTAGTCCCCAAGGCTGCATCCATTTGAGGCTCTCTCAGAATGAGGATGAGCCTGTCTGCAATCCAATGTGTGTTTGACTTCTGTAAGGGTGTTTCCTGTTATTGCGCTGAGTGAACGGCCGCTGCCACCTTCAAAACAAGAAGGCCACGAGCATTACCTGTAGTACAAAGTTGTGTCAGAGTGCAGCACGGTCTAAACTCTCCTCTCGTCCTCTAGGCTTCCTCAGAGTGGGGGTGAGATGAAGGACCCCTATGGAATCCCGAACCCCCCCATCCCACATGCTCCAAATCCTCCACCAGCCAACCCCCCACCTTACCCTGGACACAAAGGTAAGGAGAAAAAATAATGAATTATACTTTTCACCTGAGTGCTTGTGTACGACTGTAAGGGTAAAAGTGTTTGGAGGGATTTGTCATGACGAGAGGGTAGGAAGAAGAGAGAAGCGAGAGGTATTTAGGAGCACAGAGATTGCTTTGTGTGTTTGTGTGTGTGTGTGTGTGTGTGTGTGTAAGGGGAGTGTGTTTCAAGGGTAAAGGGGGCAGGGATTGCAAATGCTGGGAAAACCAGGGTAATGAATGGAAATGTATGTACTACATCTTCTCCTCTCTTCTACAACAGCAAACAGTGGGCCTGATATCTCCTACCTGCGAGCAGAGAGAGAAGTGGTACGTCTCGTCCATCACCTTTGAGCCTTTTCAGTCATGTTTGGCCTTGATTGATATCTGAACGGAGTGACAAACCGATTCTCCCTTCCTCAGGGGATCCTCAATCACTGTTTCGACGACATCGAGAGCTTCATGGGCAAGCTGCAGCAGACTGCGGAGGCCGCGACGGTGCTGAACCAGAGGAAGAAGAAAAAGAAGAAAAGTAAAAAGCAAAGTGCTGAAGGTAAAAATGAGACGGTTGGATAACACAGCTATGAATCCTGATAAAACTGCGGGTGTAACATCTGTTTTTCTTGTGTTTTCTGAACAACAGAAGATTTACTCACTGCAAAGGCCAAGCCTCCGCCAGAGGAGGAGTTCATCGATATCTTCCAGAAATTCAAATATTGCTTCAGCCTGTTGGTGTGTATCCAATCAGGTCACAGTTATTTTCCTTTTGACTACCCTGCTGTGTTACATAGTAATTCCTCTATCTATATATTCACAGGCCCGCCTGAAGTCAACTATCTCCGGGCCTTCATCAGAGGAGCTAGTTCACCATGTATTCAAACCTTTGAATATGGTGAGTGTTATAACCTCTACGTCTTTACCTGTCCGGGTTGCGGGGGGAACTCCTGATGTTGCTGTCGCTGTAAACACCCGGCCACGTCTTTTACAGCAGCATAGACAAAAAAAACAGCTAGTTAGGATGTGACGAAAATCTTAAATTAAATCTAGTGTCTCATGATGTCGTCATTTACTATATGGAAGCAGATGAACCGAGGATAAAGATGTAGCATTTGGAGACTGGTAATTAATTAGACAACAAATGCTATTTGGATTATTTACCTGAAGGTAATGGTTCAAAAGAAGGATATAGGCAGTATGTTTATCCCTCAGCTGGTGTTGAACACAAATGTATAAAAAAACAAAACAAGCATGCGTCATGTTCAAATGATTGAAAGGCTTTAGTGTAGTAGAGAAACTAAAAGTTCCATTGAATATTTACACAGGGCAGTTCCCTTTATGAGAGCTTCATTGAAACTACATAGACTCAGCATTTTTGTTTCATTTGGTTTGCGTGGCAGAATTGTATGCAGGTCTGTGTCCTTGGTAAACACTTGGTTTAGATTTGAGCTGGACTCTCTTATTACTTGAAAAGCCACATTGCTGTCCCCCCCGACTGCTGTCGTGAGCTACAGCAATGATGTACTCCAGCTCTCAAAAGTATAGTAGTTTATGACTCTCTGTAATAACAAATATGATGTAAAAATATAGGACAACAATTCAAGCAATCAATCAATATGTCTGTCAGGAAAGCCACATCCATAATGAAGCCTAACTCTTGACATTGCCCTCTGAGAGCGCTGCACACCACGAGTCAGCAGAAACTGGAATAAATTAATTCAAATATGAGCAGTATTCAACTATTTACAAATGAAATGTAACGCATCAGACATGGAATTTAAGGTGTGTCTCTGTGATGTTTGATGTAACATGAATCAGTCAATAAGAGATTAAATGGGTGGAATGGGTGTGTTTGATTTGTTTATACTGGCACACCTGAATGGAAACAACCTCATATTTCTGAGTGTATGTCACTACTTCCTGTTTGTGTGTGTGTGTGTGTGTGTGTGTGTGTGTGTGTGTGTGTGTGTGGATGCATCCATTAGGCTTTTGTGTGTCCTTGGGTTGACAGTACTCTAACAGAAGCGTCCATTTGCAAATGAATCAAATTCAGATTAATGTATAATGTGTGTAAAGCAGTGATTGTTAGACTGTCATTATCGGACCTTGTTTTTCTAGACTGGGAGCATGAGCACGGGTTTTGTCTTATCTGCTTGTGTGCAGATGGTGAAAACAACAGGGGGACCGCCTATGGGAGCCTCAGTGTCCAGCCCCGCCCTGACCAGCTCTGCTGTCTTCCTGCTAAAAGACAACCTGAGCGAGGAGGAGAGGCAGCTGTGGACGTCTCTGGGTCCCAACTGGACGCTCCCGCGGTCAGTACCAACAATCACTTGGTCAGCCAGTGTAATAGCGGTATATATATTAGATAATATGAAATATATTAAGTAAAAAAATAAAATAATCCAGTTCTACTTGGCTGACCTGGATTCTCCTGAGATAATTAATTATACTCATTCCTTGAAAGTAAGATAGCATTTTCTTGTGTAAGTATTTCTGACTTATCTTATTGGATTATTGAATCCACAGTTAAGAGCTGGACTGATTTTGTTTGCCAATAAATTTAGCTGATAGATTATTGTTATTATTATACAATAATCATCAAATCAGTCATACGTATTAATTAGTGGTACTCATTCACCTCGCATATGATAGAGTTTATTCCCTGGCAACAGCTGCATGAAAGGATAAAACCGAAGTGAGCTTTTCTAAATGTAAAGGTTGGTATTAGCTGTTCACACTGTAAAGTAAAACCCAAGTGCATCAAGGACCAATGCAGTGTCTCTGTGTGCTCTCTCAGCTCTCAGCTCAGAGGGTCTGTAGCTCCCTACACTCCTGTGTTTTTGGACGGCTGGAAGCCGGAGGCCTCGAGGGCAGACGGGCAGGTTTGGGAGGATCCGATCGAGTCACAGCACAAACATGAAGCCCTCCAGGTAAAGCAAGTGGCATGGCATACCTGCCCATTCATGGTGTGTCACAAGAGAGGAGCACTGGAGATATGTGTGTGTGTGTGTGTGTGTGTGTAAAGGTACAACACGGGGGATGAGCGTAATTACAGACACAATAATACGTAAATACCAAGTACAATAAACACTGGAGATGAACTTTCCTGTAAAGTTGCCTCAGTTTACCTCTGTATGCAGTGGATATTTATCAAAGGCCTTGTATTCCCATGTTGTCAACAGTTTTTTGGCATAATGATTATTAACGGTGCTCCCATTGCTACTTGAAATGATTGTTGAAAGAGGTATTTTTGCTGATGAATGCACTTGGAATTCAAGCACCTGATAGGGAGAATATTTTGACTCATCTTTATACTTTTGGTTTGTCGCCAAATTTTTCTTTTGAAAGCTTGCTCGTACTCAGGTAACTGCCAAAGCTCTTGCTCTACAAGCGGTGTCTATGAGTATTTTATTTTGTCAACCACCCCCAACGCTCTACATAATAACCCTTTATACTTTTCTCTCTGCCCTGTTAATGCTTGTGTCTGTATATTCATGAATGTCCATCTCGTTTTAACCCACAGCATCAACAGCCTGACACCGGTGAAACGTAGGTCATCTTTAAGAAGCAACTCAATCAGCTGCTACAGTTTACCCTCCGACCCCATGATAACAGTGTCTATCTCCTTTCCTCTCAGAGACGGCAGCACACTCCCACCAGAATCTGAGAGAATCTACAGCTGCACGTATGACTTCATAGCCAGGAATAGCAGTGAGCTCTCAGTGCAGCAAGGGGAGACACTAGAGGTAATGAGGTCAAGTAGTACACAGTAAGAACGTGTACACGGTGCATTCAGGAACCCATCATGAAGCATGACACACCCAAAAGTACGTTGACTGACAGCAACTCCTCCGTCCGACAGGTGATCGAGTCGTCCAAGCGCTGGTGGAAGTGTCGTAATCGGTTCGACCAGATCGGATTTGTTCCCTTCAATATCCTGGATCCCTTGGCCCACATAGACAGCCCCGTCACCAATAAACCCCCCAGTGTAAGACACAAAAACACACACGGATCACACAAGCCACAGAGGTATGCTCTCACCTGTACACACCTGCGTGAATTCAACTGTGGTTTTGTCATTCCTGCAGGCTCCAGCTCCACCTCCCCTCGCCGGGTCTTTCTCTGCAGTCCCACCCAGCTCTCCCACTTCACACCAGGCCCCCACCCACTCGCCCCAGCGCCCATACAGTCAGCATACATCATCTGGAGAGGACCAAGACAAACAAGGTATCAGACTATTGTGTAGGAGGTGTGTCGCATAAATGCTGTGAAAAGGTGGCTTGAATATGGAGAGCTGAAATGTCCTTAGAGTCTCGGACCTGGCACAGATATTGTCTGAGCCAGAGATAAAAAGCACAAAGTCTTGATTGGATAACAAACTGTCAAGTACACCAAAAAGCTACACATTGACATGTGCTTAATTATGTCACTTTTAATCTTCCCAGTGATGTTGATGAATGACGAGCTGCTCCAGAGGCTGACCAATGGAAAGACCAATCTGAACAAACCGCTGGTCATCCCTCGCTCCTCAGAGACCTCCGTGCCTCTGGACTACCACTCTCCTCCAGACGAGGTAGCCGAGTGGCTCCAACGGAAGGGCTTCAGTGAACCGTGAGTGACGTCATTACTGTTGACTGTTGACCAGATTCACCACATGATGTTTACGCACTGGAAGTTCTCCAAGCACAATGTTATTGGTTCATCAAAAGGTCAACATAAATGACCTCCTACCTTATTAATACTGAAACAGCTAGAAAAAGGAAATGAATAAGAGAAGAGTTTAAGTTTTCTTTGGAGTCATTTGTCCTTTTTGTCCCTCAGGGTGGTGTCATGTTTGGGAGTGCTGACAGGCGCCCAGCTCTTCTCCCTCAACAAGGAGGAGCTACGAGCTGTGATTCCAGAGGAGGGCGCCAGAGTCTACAGTCAACTCACTGTACAGAGATCACTGCTGGAGGCGAGTTAAAAAACAATTATGGCTTTAATTTTTATCAAAGTTAACCAATTACAAAATGATTGAGTAAGCTCAAAACACATTTGACAGCTAAAGAAGCAAGTCACTATTTGAGAGTGTGTAGAGATTTCAACCAGAATAAAGTAGATGGAAAATGAACTAAGAGCTGATTCTGCATTTATTTAATGAGTTTCTGTAAGTGCTACTTGTTGACTGGAAAAACAAATGGCACGAAAACCTTTTTTGACTGAAACCAACTTATTGATAATGTCCGTTTATTCTGTCATGACTATTTTGTGAATTACTTTGATGGCATTTTAAACCTGTGCACATGCATGTAGAAATATAGATCTCTATATGACCACATAGAATTCTTGTCAATAAAAATAGTGCGCCTTTTATCCTTCAGCTGGTCTAATTTGCTTGTGCTATTTACAGGATGCCAGAAGGGCCACAGAGTTGGAGGCGGTCATGGAGAAACAGAAAATGAAGGTGGATCTGAAACTGGAGAGCAGCACATTGTGAGCAGCAGGTGTCTTCATCACGAAGAGGTTCAGATGGAGGATTGTGTTATTCTGGTAGTGCCGTCACTCGAGAGTGAACTCCTGAATTATTAATTCCATTCACGAGAGAACAAACATGTGACAGTGACCATCTTGCTCGAAGGGCCATTATGACACGATTGATTCATCTTAAGACTAAAGTATTTGGCAGCGAATCAGAAATGGAAGCTTTTAATGGAAGCCGGCGCTGTGCAAATTAAATATTGTCAAATTTGAGTACACCATTTGTAATGCATGTTGTTTATTTGAAAGTGAATAGTTTTCTTCTGTCTCCTTTCTTTCTAGTCGGGAAGGACTAACTTAAAAGTGTATTTATGTTTGTTTGTAGAATACTTGCCTAATAATTCAACCCTGAATAACCTGCAATGACAAGACCATGGAAATTGAAATGGCGATTCTTTTTTAATTTTTATTGAGACTTTAAAGAAATTTTTCCAGCAGAACATAAACAGATATGACTTCACACATTAGGTGAAGCAATGCATCCATTCAAATCTGTTTGCAATTATAAATCTATTCAGAGGAATTTGTCCAAATTGGACCAACATAAAGACTAATAAAAATGTATGTACAGTTATGGCATTGAATTTATAATGTATAATTTCTGAACCTACTGCTTCACATGCCGACACGAATTTTGAAGTTACAATTTATCTTAAATAAAAGAAATCAAGATGGAAACAAAATATAAAACAAGAACCTTGCCACCGACAATTCAAAACAAGTGTTTACTTATACTGGCCAAACTCTCAATCAAATAGATCCTTTCACTACCAGCAGCATAAGATAACAGTTGATTAGCTAAAATTAAAAAAAAATTTAAAAAAGAAGAGGACAATGGGAAACACAAGGTTGATACTATACTAATATTCGTAACTTTAACCTTTTGGTTTTGAATTGGGTTCCTAAAAGTGTAACCGGGCTTTAGCGAACTAAGTACGGGACCAAAGAAAAATGTGGACAGATATTCGGGAACTGCAGTCCTGCAGTTTATCAGGAGCTGGTGAAAAGAAACCTTCAGAGGGAGATGGAAAAAAAATACCTTATTGATGGGACGAGGCTCTTCAGAACACAACAATCAATCAGTCCAAAACATATTCAGATACAAGATATTCAGATTCGTTATCAAAAGACCATCAGTTAATAATACTATGGATCAGTTACACTTTTCTGTAAGTGTTTGCTTTATCTGTTGGACACATCGCGGGGTAGTTTACAACAAGACGTGTGTGTTGGATACAGACAGCCACCAAGTCACAGATGTGGGTATTACAATACACTCCACTACTGATCAACAACTAACTCCCCCAAATGTTCAAATGAAATCTTCTGATATACATGTACGTGTACACTCTGGGTCGGATGCATAAACTGTTAAAGCAAAGAAAGGAGGCAGGCGGGAGAACAGATGGGTCAAGGCGAGGACTGCGTGTGACATTAGGTTATTATAAAGGGACAGACAGGTGAGAGAGACGGGAGGAGGCGGTGTGTCGTGATGGATGGAGTTTGGTCCTCAGAGGTCCCCCATGTCCCCGTCGTCTGCGCGGCGGGAGTCTGACCTGCCGTTCATACCGTCCTTCCTGTCTCGCTCCCGTGACCCGTCTCTGGATGAGCGCTCTCGGTCCCTGGACGACCTGGGGGACAAGACGGTCCGAGATATTCAGTGAAGCACAAAAGCCAGGGTGTATTTGTAAAGAACCAAATCATAAGCTCAAACAGGATGAGTATTACTCAGTGATTATTTAAGATTCATGACTGAAAGGTTCCATTCTGTGGGGGCTTGGTGTGAGCTTGGTTGTGTATTTACTTGTGTCTGGAGCTCTGCTCGTGGTTGTGACGGTGTCCTCTACTGCGAGAGCGGGATCGGCTGCGATGCCTTCTCTTCCTCTCCCTGGAGCGCGAGTGCGAACGGCGCTTTTCTCGTGATGCGGAGCGCGAGCGCTTCCTTCTGCGGTCACGAGAACGGGACCTGACCCAAAACAATGGACAACACTTGAGCTACGATTTACCTTAGATACTGATCGATTTCAAATGTGGATTCATGCAGCGACTTCCTTACCTTTTATGCTCTCTGCTCCGTGATCTGGTCCTATGAAATAATCGGATGCAAAACCACAAGTTTAAATAGTTAAAAACATTCACTTCATGCAACAAATAAAGTCCCATAAATGTCTGCACTCACCTCTTCTTCATCTTTTCCTCTTTCTCCCTCTCTTCTCGTCTCTTTAAGCGCTCCTGGTTCCTTTTCTCCTGCTTTTCGACCACAGTTTTCTGATCAAAATAAAAATGCATTGCCAATTAGAGGCGAAACCATCTGTCTCCAAACCTCAGGACTGTTTATGGCCCATTTCTTCTTTGGTGTGTTTTCTAGTACATGGTAGGACAGACTTGCACATACCTTTAGTAGGTCCAGTTTCTCTCTGATCTGGATGAAGCCCAGATGAAGCTTCCCACCAAAATGATCAGCCAAACGACGGTCATTGTCATGGAGACCCAGGTAAGCGGAGCACACCTCGCACACCCGCAGCTTCTGCTGCTGAAAGCTGGAGGCTGGCATGGAGTTCCTGTACTCTTCCTGAGGAGAGACGGAAAAGGAAAAAGAGATGCATTTAAGGATAAAATGGAAATATTAATATATGGAAAAGCAGCACATCATCCTTTCGCTTGAAGCACCTCCCAAATACTTCTTCCTCACCTCTGCATCCTTCTTCTTAGTGCGGACCTTCTCGACTTCCTGCAGGACCTTCTGGGCCTCGTCGACGTTGCCCTCCGCTCCAAGCTGCTCCGCCTTGGCCAGGAGCTTCCCTATTTCTTCATTCAGCTCATGAACCTTCTCTGCCTGCGAGCAGCAGAAACAACACAATTGACCTCCATCTTTCCTAAAACACTGTGTTATAGCAAGCTACATGCTGCATCTTGTGTCACTAACCTTTGCTGCCACCTCAGCACTGATCTCTTCCTGAGTCTCAGCCAGGCGCTTCTTGGCCAATTCTGTCCTCCGGTCGCAGTCGGCAATGAAGGACTCCAGGTGATCCACCGCCTTTTGGAAAGAGTAAATGTGTCCGCAAAGAAACCGACTTAAATATGTAACTTGGTAGATTTGAATACATAGACACAGAAATCTTTCAGGAGGGCTATGCTGATTTTCATCAATCATCTGATTGAGAGTGATGGACATCAACATGCATATGTTGTCTAAAACAGTCATTTCATGGCTGCAACTCAACCATTGTAGCATCAATAACAAGGGCAACAAAAAGTACATTTTTAAACAAGTTGTTAAAAATAGCCAACTTTGCTGATATAAAAGATTGAGTTTGGATTTGGAAACTGTGGTCATGCTAAATGATGAACTACTGTCACTAGCTGTTAACCACTTGATTTTCATACTTAAAGCAACAGCAAGGTTATAGTTCTGTCTTCAAAGCCAAGACACCGATAGTTAATCTGTGTTTTTCTACAGAATTCTATGATCTGCACAACGGTATTATATATTGCAGGACAGCACTTACGTCCAGCTCAAAGAACAGATCTCTGTCCTTGGAGGCAATTTCATAATCTGCCCGAAGTGCCAGGTCATGGATCTTCGTGCACTCTCCCAGGTCCATACGCTATCACCAAAACACAAGCAGACATGACTCAGACATAATATCAAATGATTTAAGACTACTTGTAGTACATAGTTTAGTTTCTCTTTATTTCAGCATTATACTGATTTAATGTACTGGAGTAACTTTCAGTAGTCAGACCATAATTGCAGGCCACTTACAGTTCCAGACAGGATGTCATGTGGACAGCAGTTTAGAAGATGACTTTTGCAGACTCGCTCGTCAGTGAACTTGACCCTCTGTCGCGTCTCATCCCCTGAAACAGTCCAAAAAACGACCAGTGAGAAAGACCTCACATATTTGTTATCAGGGGCGAGGTCACCAGTGATTTCATATACATGACTGTAATTGTACAACATGAAACGGGCAGATAGGCGTCACTATAACTGCATTCAAGGATTCTGTACCCACCTAAATGAGTGAAAACCAATTATTTTATTTCTGATTGTCAAAGTTTTACAGACATTTCATTTGTATGACATTAATGACCAATAATAAATACTGTGTCTCCGCTGGACTATGTTTAACATCCATTTATGTGCCAAGATTGAAGGAGTAAAAGTTACATGTGGCTCTGCATATGGAACTTCCTATTATTCTTGGTGCTTACCATACCCAAGCCTCAATAAAAACATGGCTATGTTAGTGCCTCAACTCAGTTTAACTTGTGATAAGGCTCAGTGTCTCCTCTGTAAAAGTGGAGCATTATGAGACTAAGCTAATAAGGACACAAAACAGGTAAATAAATATGAACTTGTATTTCAATTAACTTGTGTGAACAGGTGTACCTTGATTTTATAATGTTTTCATTACACTTCAATGCATACGACTATACAGGGAAGATGTAAACATTTCAGACAAATGTTCCAGCCAAGCCTTTTACAAATACGAAACATTGAAAAGAAATTGAAAACAAAAGTATAAAAGAATTCCAAGGAAAAAAATTAGTTTATACACACTGTGATCTGCACCACATACTGTACCCTTCTGCATCTTCAAGACCTCAGCTGCAGAATTTTAAACCCGCTGTAGAAAAGTATAAATGGGAACAGTTTTCTTGCCCATACCTGTAGTAAGAAGTTGGGAGTCATACACAAGTCAGATTGTAAATGATGTGTGCCAAGTTTGTTTGTTTTTTCTTCCTCGACGATTGCTAAAATTGCCTTCTGAAAACTGAGAACTGCTCCTTTGGATTCTGCGCGATCAGACGTCTTAGCTCAAGCTGCATAAAACTACTGCAAATTGTAGTTCTAGTGCCACTGAAGATATACCCATTTGTGTGACTAAAAAAAAAAGAAAAAAAAAAAAAAAGCTACAATAACTTCCGGAAGGCAAACAAATGGTTTGGATATTCATCATAACAGCTTTAAAAATTATGTGTGACTCACGGCTCGATGAACATGAGGCTTTTCTGCAACTCCTTTGCAGATTGTTGTAGGCTGGCAAAGATACACTGAACCTTAATGAATAAAATAAAGGGGCCACAATTGTTCAGTTTGTATGCAACAAATGTATGGGAAGAATTTGATATCAATCTCATCACACATACACCCACAAACTCACAACACAAATTCATTATTACTGTTGAGTTCAAATTATCAACGTGTTAGAAGATAATCCACAGTTCCATTCAATCAACTGTCAGGATGAACCTCTGATTTATACAATAACAGGGCAGCACTAAGCTGTCACTTCTGCCCATGAAAATCAGACTCGACAGCTGGGTTACCTCTTAATGTTTGTATCCAAATTGCTGGAAGCAATTACTAAACTGGTATTTTAGCAAATCAAAGTGCCTTGCTAAGGACAACAGATTTGCATTTGTATGGGTTAACCAAATATAGGTTAGTAGGTCACATAGATATCACTTTTAAATTAGATTATAAATCATTAAAATAACGAGCAGCATTGCAGCTCATTTCAGTAAAATCAAGTGCAAACGTAATGTACTTTTGCCTCACTTGAATATTACCATGGAATGCTACATTATGCTTCTACCAAGAGGAACATATTGTACTTTTTACTCCCTGCTGGAGTACTCTGACAGCTGGAGTTACAGATTGCTTAGCTGATCAAATTATGATCAACTTGCAATGCAAAATGGTAATAATGTATTGCATTTTAAGTGTTTTACCTAATATGCAGGATTTAAGCATGATATTGCTAATCATGCTCGGGGAGTTTTACTGTAGAAAGATTATGAACACAGGACCTTTGCTCGTAGTTGAGTATTTTTACTTTTAGAGATGAGAGTACTGTTTCCAACACTACTGAGCTTCAGTGGACAGCGATGCTAATAATCTTATGCACCGGCCCTCTCACATTATGACGATGTCAAATCATCAAAAGTATTAGTTGAGTAACGTTAATACAGTTCATTAAGCCTGATACTAATTCAGCAATGACTGACGGGCCCTGTGAGACGCTTAGCATGGGGCTTCTTTATAGCGTATCAACTTTGAGTTTTGTGAATGTAACGCAGTGGCGTTAACGCTATCCACTAAAACAGCAATAGTTTTTTTTAATGAATGCCAGGGATTGATGAATTGTTGTACATCGTTCAAAGCTAGGTAGCATGGAAGCTAACTTAGCTGAAGCTAGAAATGTCGTTAATGCTGAAATAAAGAGAAAACTAAAACAGTGAATCACTATTTAAATCAACCTGATGTTTAATGGATACAAACATTAAATCCTCACGTTAATCCGTAGAAGCTACTTGACTCTAATATTACTGTATTTTACACAGCCCTCTGCAGTACTATATCCATTCATGCAGGTCTGCCATCACACACCAACACAAGCCAGCCGCAGCAGTGGCTCCATCTTGGCTAGCTAGCTAGCTCAGCTAGCATGCAACAGCGACTCACCGTCCCTCGCTGTTCCCATGAGCTGGTCGAGCAACGCTCTCATTTGAGCTTGGGCAGACATTGTTGTGGGTCTTTCGTCGACAGCGCTGTATAAAAGCGAGCAACTGCAAACAGTTCCTTAATGTTTTTGTTAAGCTATTCGATTATTTATTCGTCAAAGCATCACCTCTCGTCGCTTTTCTCTATTTGGTGGACTTGCCAGTTTCCGTTTGATATTAGGGAAATGACGACAGCGACAGGCCCTGTTTGAAAGTTTCGCTAAGCTTAAACTAAGGGGAGGGATGTTCAGTGAAAAAACGACCAATGGATTTTATAATAAGAAACGACCAATTGTAACATTTGAGAACACGCGAATAAACCAATCAGAGCGACTTGAGCCCAAATCGTCGGGCCGGCGCATCCGGGTACTTTAGAAAACGGCGAGGCCACGCCCCCTTGTGCAGCCATAAGATCCCATAGATGTCCACGACGTCATCAGGAAAGCAGAGGTCAAGTGTATTACTGAGAAAAAAATCAAACAAATGGGGCAAAAAAAAAAGTGAGACAGAGGGGAGAAAGGTCTCCGTTCCTGCCAGGATATCAGCTTTGTGTTCATCTCAACAGAACAAGGTTTCACACTGAGGAAGGATCAACACATTGAGAGACTTGTCATTAAATTGTCAGCATATATGCTGTATTATGCTACAATGTGTCATTTTGTAACTTTTTTGGTTGTTGGTGTGCAACCAGGTTGAAACACACTGGTTTAGGGTACCGTTAGCTTTCTTAAGAAACACAGGGTATTTTATAGGATATGATGGAAATGCAGGTATATGGTACAAAGATGCTTATCAGAGGCTAGGATGTTATAGGTCTAGAGAGTGTAAGACATGGATGATAACATATAGGTTAATTCAGTATGTGTGGTACTTTATATTTACTTTCATGTATTTATTTTTTGTTTGTTTTGGGGGAAAGATTGTAAGTCTATTGTCTGATCCCCACTCCGGAGCAGAAGGTGGCGGTAATGCACCGATAAAATCGATGCCAACTGATGTAAAATCAGTAGAAGAAGAAAATGTCAAAGACGTGTGTTTGGATTGTAACTTTGACATGTTTGCATTTATTTATTGTTAAACAAACGTTGACCCAACACGGTGGTCGTTATTGTTCATGCGGACATCTATCACGCTACATATTTAAATGACAGATATCACGAGGCTTAGTTTTGTCTGTAAATAATCAACCTGTTCACAGCCAACTGTTTGATCTTTAGGCTGAGATTTAGTTGGAGACGACAGTATTATTGCAGCAGCCTCCCACTCAAGCAAGCTAAGCTAATGCATCTATCACAACATCATTCAGCACTGACAGTGAATATTCACGTACAGTGTGTGAAAGCCTTGGTTTACCCGCGGTACATGTTTCTGTATTTTCCCGTTTCTCTTTACACGAGACAGCGAGTTTCTTTCGTGGTGTCTGAGTCCCGAGAGGGGGCGGGGTTTTTACGATGATTCGTTGCCGGCCTGGTGACGTATGCTGTACTATAGCAGTTGGGGCCCTGCGCATAACCTCTCAGGCAGCACGACTGTTGTCCCTGGTAGCTCCCCTAGCCCTTATTTATATTTAGATTGAGTTTAGAGAAGATTGGCCTTTTGCGTAGTTTCATAGTTTGTTTATTTCACCTCTTTTATGTCCATGGATTTTCAAAATAGGCAGAAAAAGGTCCACCTGAGAGACAAGCTCAGGGCAAAAAAGCTCTCCTAGAAGTAGGCGTGCCTGGGATTTGTTTACGCAGCTGAGGGTGACAGGCAGCTCCGCTGGTGTGTGTCCCGGGCCTACTACCTGTAGTTAGCCACACAAGTGACCACTAAAGACGATAGTGGAGAGTAAAGTCAGAGTTTTATTTTGAGTCAGTGGAAATTCTTCATTTGAACGTCAAGTGGCGGGACTTTCGCGATAACGTTAGCCCGTAGTCCTTCTTCCGCGAGGCCTTTGTTCAACAAGTTAGCAAACTAACCAGATGTGAGCCGTGAACTTTCCAGACCAAAGCTCGCTAACAAGTAACTATCCAGCATGGAAATACTCGGAGACTACGTTGTTCTTGGGCTAACAGTTACTAAGCTAACATCGTTGCGTAAATGCTCTAATTTTTAAATAGTCTTGACAGCGAATTAGCTTGACGTTACGCAAGTTACGTACTTAAGAGTAGCAAGCCCCTGATTTGTACAACAAATAAAAGGGTGTGCTCGCCTCGGTGATTGGTCATTATGGGTTTGTTGTCATTGTGCTGAGAAATCTTTGCAGTCAGATCCACAAACAAAGGTTGATGCTCCAGAAATAGCTGGATCAACACACACTGTGCTATGACTTTTGTCTGTAATTATTGCTGGTTTTATTTGACACATGCAGGTTTGTAGTTTACTCCACACTTGGACAGATACAGCAGCAACCTGTATGCCATAATAGGACTATTCACTGTGTAGTAAATACGCAGGGTTTTTGTAATTTACGTGTTTATTTAAGGCCAGCATCATATTGAGGTAAGGTTCTTACCTTAAGTAAGCTCTTTTCCCTGTCTAATAGATCTGTGGGCCGGGTAATGCATTGAGGCAGCAATGGAGACCACGGGCAGTGCCACTGAAGGCGACCCTCTGAAGAGGGGAGAGGACGGGGCAGAGACGGGAACAGTGTCATCAGCATCAGAGCTGAAGAAGAAGAAGAGTTGTAAGGAAGTCTTGGGTTTTTCCAAACTGACCCATTGGCGAACTGCAGTCTTCTTCTTCTCCTTGTTCCTCTGCCTCACCATAGTGTTTGCCTTCTCATTCATCATCCCCTGTCCCGTCAGACCACAGTATCTCGTTAGCTGGAACAAGACTTTCTCTGAAGCAGGTGTGTAAAACTGTGTGCTTTTCACTGCTTGGTAGTGTTGTATCGTTTGTGGGGCTTCACTACTTTTACCTCCCTCTCTGCCACAGCGACCTATGACTTCCTAGCTATTGAAGATGCGAGCAAAGACAAGGTGATGGATGTCCTGTTTGTCATCAAAAACACAGAAGTCAGTCTAAACAAGACATGTACTGACGCAGGTATAAAGTGTTCAATTCAATTTCAATTATTCATTAATTGGGAGGAAACAATGTGTAATTCAGAGACACTCTGTGTTTTTCAGGTCTTTCCTCGCCATGTGTGTTTGTGTTGGCAGTGGATGGGACCGATGGACAGACCCTGTGGGAGCGCCCGCTGGCCCCCGAGTTCCACTGGGCCCAGTGTGGTCTGGATGAGGAGACAGGCAGAACCTGGGACTGTCTGCTGTCCCATTCTGACAAACTCACAGCTGTCGACAAATACTCTGGTTGGTGACTCATTACTCTGTATTATGTATACTATCGATTAAATCGCATTTTCACAATGTGCATTTGCGATACAGCTTTTGCAGATCTATGCAATCGTAGCAACACAAATATTTTCGAATTCGTTGTAACAATTCAAGCAAGGATATAAAGCAACTAAAATCAGATGCACTGAATCCGATTGAGTGTCCCTTTCCTGTGTGATGCGTCTACAGGTGAGATCATGTGGCAGCAGCCTCAGCCCCCCGGTCTGAACGGCACCGTGCCTGTTCTCATTGTCCCAGATCTGGATGGGGACAAGGTCAGCGATGTGGCTCTGGTGGCATATGACAACACGCAGGTAAACACCGATGATGTCATGCATTTACTTCCTTGCTTTGCTCCTTGCTTACAGTGCAAGGATTGAGTCACATTGTATTTTTGAGTTTTCGTTTAACGATGATGCTTTCTCACGTCATATCTGCAGACTCAGCTGGCATTCCTCTCAGGGAACACAGGCGTCCAGATAGGCTCTACGGTTGTTCTCGACTCCACAGAGACGGCCAATCACCTTCTCCATCGCACGAAGGAAGGTTCTTACTATGTGCTACTGCAAAAAGGTTCGTGTCTTAAACAAGCTTTGACATAATTCAGACCAGATAATATCTTTTCCTGAAGGAGGAGTGCTGCACTGCATCTCAATAGTTAAGATGTGTTAGACGTGTAGAAGAGACAATAACTCAAAAACTGTAAGGAAGTAAAAAAGCTGTTATTACCTCTATGAAAAGGAAAGCTTAACTTCAAGTTCCAATACAACTGTTGTACATAGATACTACTGGATGTCCTATACACTTGATGGCAGCAGAGAGTAATCTTGTGCTCATTCACAGACACGGGCGTGTATGGACTGGCACTGTGGAAGATTGCTGCCAAGGCTAAAGCAGGGATGGAGGTGGGCCTCAAGAAGGACAAACGCTGGGAGAAGAATGCCAGCGCAGCATCTGGCCTCGTGCCCGTCTACGAGTAAGAAGCAGAATACATTCGCCTTTTGGTTATCACTTCAACAACAAAGATTTCTCTCAACAGCACGCCGTCATCGTGGCTTTAGCCAGAAACTTTTGCTCATATTTATTTCTGCTTTGTAGATCTGATTCAGTGAGACAAGTGCTAAGAATAGGAGTAACAGGTGGTACACCCGACCTGCTGCTGGTGACAGGAAACGAGGTGGCGGTAGTTGATGGAAAACATTTGCAGCTACTGTGGAGATTCAATACGAGCTCAATCCTCAGGTAACCCTTCAGTTTGATTTTTGTATTGTACATACGAATGAATCTGTTTCAGCACAATGCAAGATAATGTTTTTGGCTCGGAACCAAATTGTGTTGTCAGAAAAATCTCATCTGTAGATACATTCTGGTCATGTGAACCATATGATGTCATTATAACCACGCTGGTTGAGTCAAATGAATCTTCTCCTCTGCGTTGACATTCGTTCAGTGAGCCCTCCTTTGGCCACTTTAACAAAGACGACGTCCTCGATGTTGTGGTCGAGGAGGATATCGGCAACAACACAAAGAGGGTAAGACGTACCTAAATGTAACTTTCCGCCCAGCTTCTCTAATACGGTGATGCATTTCGAATCATGCATTCACTGTACCACTGTCTGTGTGGTATGCAGGTAATGATTCTTGATGGGAAGTCCGGTGGTGTGCTGTGGGAAGTCAGCCTTTTGGCCAGTCCTAACTCGCCGAGACCCGCCGCGATACACACCACCAACTCCTTCTCAGTCTTTATGTTTTGGGGCATGCTGCCCTCAGTGACCAACTCATCTGTAAGTACGCTGTCTTCATTAAAAATATGCATGTTACCGGATTTTTACACTTAATGCTAATCAGACTCAAATGTTTCCTTCCAGGAACCATTTGCAAGTGATCGACATTCTTACTTGCTCCACCCTCTCTATTCTAAAGTCCTCCTGCAGTCGACCAATGTCATGGACCACATCATAACATTTAAAGGTGCTGGTGATTTTCCTATGCTTTAATCAGGTGATATTGTCTTATAACAACTTGTGAATCAGTGGTTGGAGGGATGGGGAAACACAGGGTCCAGCTCTTTGTGTGACTGTGTTTGTGTCTCAGCCACTCTGTTGGAGAATGGACGCCATGCTGCCTACATCCTGCTGACAGGTCCTGGCACGGAGGGAGCTGAAGGCACCGTGGTCCTCAGCAAGCGAAAGCTGAAGCAGGACGTCCCAGACAGCAAAGTGCGCCCTATTGGTCCCGGCGGAAGTACAGAGACCGATGAAGTCATCAGAGAGGCCTTCAGTCGTCTCCGCTTCAGCGATTGGTGAAAGGACCAACTGTAAAATGTAGAGTGTGTCCTCAGTGTTGAAACCATTTCGGCACAGCTGACTTTATGGTGGCTTAATTAAAAAAACAAAGTGTGTACACTAGCTATGACTTTCAAACTGCTGACAACCAAAAAAATCCTTTTGTGTTGAGAGACTTGGGTCGACTTGATTTGACAGAGCTCTTCCATTAATCTCCATTGGACAAACTTGGCATTATATGTTTTCAGACTTGACTGCATCCACACTATCACGAGTTTGATCCGACAATCGCACAGCATGTCTGCTCCTCTCCTGCTGATAAATCCATCAACAGTTCCTGCCATGCACTACTGTTTCTAGCACTTTCATGCATTAATGCAAAGCTCTTTTTTTTAATTGCAGAGGCTGGATTATTATTTGAATCTATGCACCTTTATCATATTGGGCTTTGAAAGCAGCAGGTGGTAGTTCAAAGTGTATTTTAAATGATGGCAGCCTAAAAGGCACAATCGTAGGGCTTTTCTCTTGGTATCTTTCCTAAAACTTGTGCAGTACAACAGACAGATGTATGCTGAAACTTGAAATATGACAGAAACCCCACCAACCTTACACTATGTGGTTACATTTTCTGTTTGTAGTCAATGGCACTGTCGATAATCAAGATGTGTGTCCTTAACGTTTTTAATCCAAGATGCTGTACCTAGTGATGCTCTTGAATGCACACTGACTTAACCTTTGAGGCACTCAATGCTGTGTCTCAAAGGTTCTCATAATATTGAGTTACTGCTGTGGGTTTTGTGTCAGTGATGTGTTTTAGTTTTAGTTAAAATGAGCTTCCTGTTTTTGCTGTACATTAGTGTATTGAACCTGTGGGCCTTTTGTCAGAGCTCACGTTTCTCTCTCTGGCTCTGTTTTCGTTTGAGCAATATTAAACTATTTAAAAATAACTGTCATTGTGTCATCTCAAATATGTTTTATTACAGGAGCAAATACAGTGAAAGTAGAAACTACCTGTAGAAAGTGCACTGTTCGGCTCAGAATATTTTCTTGAGCCTGTATTCACCACCAGTGGACTTCAGGAAAAGAACAAGTTAAATACTTGACCAAACAAAAACTGCCGAATTAATAAATCCTTTCAAGACTAATTTCGTCATAAAAAACAAGTTAGTCATTTGGTTTATCTTATGTCAAACACAATGAAATACTTCCCAGTGACTTCATACTTTCAGAAGACAAAATAGCTTGTGCCCTTATCAATAACATATTGTGTGGTAAAGTACAATCTTGGTAAATGCATTGCCACGGAGAACAGCAGCCATGCGCACTACAGCGCAGAGCCAGTCCATGGATGTATGGAAGTCAGTCACGTATCACTGTACAGCTCACGCCCATAATAATTGCAGCGTGTCGCTTTTTCACCATTACTCACGACCGATCACAAGCTCGTGCCTCCCTAAATTAATTCGGGGGAAATGGAAGTCGCTCCCTGTAGGCAGGTAATCAGGTCTTGAAACACGTAGCCCACCTGACATATTTGGGGAAAGGCGCACAAACGGCGCGCCACGAGAAGATGAGAATAACGGAGTTCAGTTTGGGGATTTGAAGTCCGTGCTCCTGAAGTTATAGATGAACCCTGTGAAAACTGTGTCCTGTCAGTCTGAGGAATCGGACACTAACACATAAAAGCGACCAGCTACACTGATGGGGACTTCTATCTCCCTGGAACACATTTGATAGGACTCATATACAGTATCGCTGCTGCCCCTAACGTGACCTGACAGCTGTACTTCCTAGAAACAGTTCCTGGGTTGGATAAACTTTTTATTTCATCAGCTGAATGAAGACGTGTAACGCGCAGGCACACCGTAACGCGCAGCTGCCTTTCCCTAATAAAACTCCAACAAAACCACCTGACACAGCAGAACTACTTAGTGACAACATGTTTCAATGATTAACTCAAATCGCCTGCTGAATACAGATTACTTCCGCCTTGTGAGACAAACATGAAATTAATCACTATTAGAAACAAACACCACGCTGCTGCTGTGTGGTGTCCCAGCTCATCACGATTGCCCCCCATCACGCCACGTCTAGCAGACCCGTGTGGGTGGTCTGAGCTGTGATGGCCCGTCATTTCAATGTGACCTGCGTCCGCCATGCCAATATGATAAGACTGCACGACTGCAACATCCTTATTGCGAGGCGCGCGGGCGCGCACTGCTTATCAGTGGAACGAGACGCTTCCACCGCACCGGTGTAAAAGTCACTTTTGAGCTCGCGCCTCAAACTGCTACAAAGGTAAAGTTTACCTGCACGTTTTGTTTAATTTCTCTTAAACGAAGTGTGTTGTTATTATTAGACCACGTGCCTATGGGGACACGTACCAAATGTATTTTATAGCGTATTAATAGGAGAGAATAGTTATCAAGAAAGGCTCAGCTGTCTCCTCTGAAGATTATACATTCTATTTGAGATGCGGTTGTAGATGTTTCAATCCATTATCACAGGTATGTTGTATTTTCATAATACTATTTATTAATAAGAGTATTACTTGCTTGTATGAAGCAACATAAACTGGCTCATATACGGAAATATGCCAGGTGAACAGAGCGATCGTCTTATTCGATGCTTTTTTTAACCGCGTATATTATCTAATGGTATACTATAGATGTCCTATCTAAAAGGAGTATTTGACGGAAACGCCACATTTCTTGAAACATCCTTGAGGAGCCGCATGCGGCACCCCTAAATCTGCCCAAAATAGTCTGTGCGCCTCTAGACATGTCGCTCTGAAGTCAGTCCATGCACTGTACGGGTTCTCTGTACACCTGCACATGGACATAAATATATATATATATATATATATGTCAATCTGTCTCTGTCTGACCCATAAGGGGTCTGCATGTCAGAAATGGGCTTTTGCTTGGCGACAGGAAAATAAACCTTTTTCTTCAAGCATGCTCCAACATTCATTGATGATATTCTCTTTACAGGGGTGAAAATGGCTGAGGACATTCAGGCCAAACTTAAGAAATATCGCACTGCTCCCTTTGATGCCAGATTCCCCAACCAGAACCAGACCAAGAACTGCTGGTCCAACTACATGGGTAAGACTGCATGTCAAGGTCAAAGCAGTTAAACCCACGAAGGCAGGCTGTGCCATTATTAAAATATAATACAAATGTATTATTATACCTTTGAACTAATGATGTACAAGTCAGGATTACTGCTATGGTCTTTAGACATGTTGATAATCCAGTTTGAGATTTCTTGATAGACCATTCGCCTTGGAACCTGGATCGAGGCTATGATTTGTTTTTTTTAACATTCATTGTTGTGGTTGCTTCTCTTTAATAGACTTTCACCGCTGCCAGAAGACTCTGGACGCTAAAGGAGTAGACAACGCCCCCTGTGAATGGTACAAGAGGGTCTACAAATCACTCTGCCCCATTGCCTGGGTAACAACTTTTTCCTTTAAATGAGAAATAACTGTCCACAAAGACACAAGCAGGTTGAATAGTAGTGGCAGCACATACGGAGCAAACAACTTTATCGTTCCTCGCATTCCTGAGAGTCCACTTGGTCCCTAGAATCAAAACAAGAGTTTCAGTCCAAAATTGGGGATTGCCCAGGCAGGAAGGTCCGGCCTATTTTGAGTTACCTTTTTAGCCAAATCCTAATAAAAAGGTCTTCCACAGTTTTGAAAGTTGAACATCAGATATTACTTTTTCCCACAAACTGTCTTCACACTGACATTCAAATTTCATACATTAAAGAGCATTGCTTGTAGTGTTATTTCCTCTGGTACGTGGCGTCTTAAAAAGGTAAATCAACACTGAATCACATTGGGAAGAAGACTGTTCTCAATGGGCTGAAACTTTAATCATGTTGTACTTTAAGGTCTCACCCCAATCAGTCACAGTATAGTGTCATGCATAGGCTTGGCCCATGGCCCAAATATAGGGTTCCTGTCCTTTTCTGAACCTTTGTGACCTAAATAAAGACTGCTTACTGTACATCCTAAAATAAGTCTCCTTCTGGAATTGTTTCCCTTTAGATCCAGAAATGGGATGACCAGAGAGAAGAGGGGACCTTTCCAGGAAAGATCTAAGACTGCCATTTCCAAAGCTGCAAGGATGTAATCTTTGCAGCTAAATGTTTCACCTCCACCTTTCCTCTACTGATGCTCTGTCCTGTAAACCGATTAGTTATTCCTTACCAATTACATGAAATGTACAACAGCTTCTGCATTAAACTATCTCAGGATACATTTATGTGGCTCAGTTGTCCGCTATGTCTTTTCTCTTCACGGTGAGCCGTTCATCCCACCACAGAGTATTAGATACCTTTGTGTTGGCTTGATTCAGACCAGTGTGGTGTCAAGTGAGGACAAACCTTTTTTTCCGTTTTTCATTTTTATTTTATTCATTTGAAATAAACCTACATCAAATATACATATTTAAACAAGATTAGAAAAATTATTAAATATTTCAAAACACTAAATGTCACACATACAATAATAGCCACCACCCTACAGAGCAGGACTGAGAGCAATAATGACCATTGTTGCTGTTGGACACGCTGAAAATATATAAAATAAATACATAAAACTGCATTTCATATACAATTACTCCCATCGTGAGTAAGGGGTATGAAATGTATTGGGGCTCAATGAAGCAGTGAAAACTACTCCAAACTCAAATATAAGATATATAAGATGATAACAGCTCACTTTCCCATGCAACAAGTTAGTACAGTAAATATTGAATGAATAGTACAACACCAACTACCAAGTAATATAGTGAAGGTAGAATCAGATGAATCCCTTTTTAATGATCATTCTTCTCAATTTGAGGTAAGGTTATAGTATTTGCATATTAGAAGTTGCCCGTTACTGAATCTACTCAAAATCAAAATTGGCAAATGTAGATTTTTTTTCGATTTCCAACCAAATTTCTAAAACAGCTTTACTGGCTCATGAAACGTTTGCCTCCATAAAAATCGGCCTTCTATAGCAACTTCCATAAAGGTCACTTGGATTGCAAACTTTTTTTTTTCTACCTGATGCCAAGCAGAAAAAAACACACTGACCTAATTTTGTTAAGCCAAATATAGATATCGAAGATTCAAGTGTGTGAAGCTTTGTACGGCTTCAAGTTGAAATGTACAAAAAAAAAAAAAAAAAAAAAAAAATCGGACCACTGTACTTTTTTCAACTACGAGTGTAACCACTTTCAAAAAGGTGAAAAGCTCTCTGGAAGCACTTCCCCAAGTAAAACCGTTAGGCTTGTAAATAGTATTAGCCAACTGATACAAACCATTAATAGATATAAAGTAGTGTCTGCATAGCATTACGACTGGTTGGTGTACCGGTGGGAGTGAGTGAGTTCTCAGACCCATTAGGCAAAGAGCCGATCGTCTCGGCTCATCAGTGGATACAATTCATTAATAACAGTAGCGTTGGCCACATCCTGATGTGAGAGTGTCTTCATGTGGCCTTGGAGATATTTTCTTTTAAGTATTTGCACACCACAAGCAGCATTTAAATATGCAGCACAAAAGTCACAAGTAGCAACCACAGATATAGTGTTGAGTACTAGGCACAATAATAGACTGATAAAATGCAGCCTCGCATGTTTATCCTGGCACTGTGGGAGGGGCGACCATACAGTACATGTTCAGGATAACGTGTCTGGGTGGGGAAAGGAGCGTGATCCAACCATAAAGTGGAATCCTGCGCGCGTGTGTGTGTGTGTGCGTGTGCGCACAAACCCATTGTTATCCGTGCAAGCTGTTCTCTTCAGTGTGGACCATGTGAGCCACTGACAAGCCGCCATTGCAAATAATGGCTGCTTTGGTTTTTAAGGTGAGTTAAAGTTGTCAAACGTCACCCTCTAAAAAGTGGGCTCAAACCGTCAGTCGTAGTTCCTCCGTTTCAGTTCTGCTCTCTGTCCGTCAGTACCTCCTCTTTCCATGTTTCCCACCGTCAGTCATGCAGGTTTTAGGCCGAAGAGCTGCACCGACGCACAACAAATGTACTGTTAAGTTAACTTACTGATGGATGATCGACATGCTTGACAAGCACTCTGTACAAAAAACCTCCAAGTCCAGTTGTTCCCCTGACTCACCTGGATCTGCTGTCTGCTTCTTCTTGTTGTGATGGACTATCTGATTCTCATTAGTCATCTTCACATCCTGGTCCTCCACATAATTACTGCAACACAGCGAGAAAATGAAGACACAGCAGACACATGTCAGCACAATTGGTTGAGCTTATGAAAGATGGAACAACACCAAAACGGAGGGTTTACTGGTAACAAGGCTTGAAGCCAGCGGGCCCAGGCCTTGAGACCAAAGATGGAGCTAGAGAGGTAAGGAAGGAGGGGGGGAACGGACTGGGGCATCACAAAGTCACGCGTGTGGTAAGGAGGGTGTGGAATGGCTGGGGGTCATCTGAGGTCACTGGAGGAACCGTCATTACAGGGATTGACCACAGGGAGGTGCTGACACGGGGCTTTCACAGGCTCTGTTACTTACTGTTGGTGGTGTCTGCTGCCACGGGGGCTGAAGTGGAGAAGAGCACATCTCTGTTCAAAACAACTCATCACTTGGGGCAATGGGGTTGAATCTAACCGTCTTTGTCAATCCATCAGTTTCTCTGTTTTAGACTTTGAATTGAATATCAAATAGTCTTGAATTAATATGAGTAATTAACAAGTAGTCAGTCATCGGCGTATGACCATTTGGTGCTGAACTTTACATGCAAACTGCAGGACAAAGCCTAATTTAGGTCTACGATTAACAAGAACACTGAAAGGCAAACTATGCAGATGCTTTATTTTGTGGTAAAAGGCATTGTACAACCAATCGGCCATGAAACCAAGAAGTCGATCATTTATCGACATCCTAAAAGTACAGGGTACCTGATGACGGTGTTCCTCTCACGGTGTGCAATGTAGGCATTGTCTGTGAACAGGATGGTGTGGTAGAGCACCACTGGATCACAGGTAGGCAGAATGCCTCGTGCCACATGGCTCACACTGTCCAAGATGCCGTTGTACACCAGGAGGTCGTCCACCAATAGCTGTTTACACAGAGCGACACACAGATTGCTGCTTCAGGTCCAAATATAAAAACAAGTGATTGCTCATCTTACAGCAGACAGAGAGGCTTACCCCAAACTCCCTTACTCCCCTTTGTGGTGTCTTTGAGTAGTTCCACAGTTTGATCATGGACACCGTCACTGGCTGGTCGAAGATGACGTACACACGGTTGACCTGTGTGGAAACAATCAATACGTAAATGTCATGGAAAACTCTCCTCTGTGAGTGTCGACTGAATTCTCTCTCTCTCTCTCTCTCTCTCACCAGCCCAGGGAGCACCGGGGCCAACCACATGCATCTTCCATCGTGGGTACTGTTGACTCCATCTATTAATTTATCCGGAGTCCTCACATCACCGCTCACATTGTCCAGTATGTTCACGCTGTCTGGAAAAGCAGCGATGTCTGGTGGACATAATGTTGAGGAACAGACAATAAATTCAAACTCATTAATACTCCAACAGCTATTGCTCATCGTAGACAGCATGCATCCTCTTTCTGAATCCAATGTCAACTGCGTCATAATTATCTTTGCCAATCCAAAATGACAGCGACATTTCCAGTCGTCACGCCTGGAAAAGCACAGGTGTGACTAATAATCTTAATGATGACTCTCTTCCACTTTGAGTGTGCCAGTGAGCCACTACACACAACACTGAAGCCTTTCCTAAAGGCAGCCCTAATGAAATTGTTTACACCTGTGCATCACCTGTGAAAATAAAGACAGATTGAATGTAAGGTTGATCACATCATTTTACTGTGACTTTTCAAACTTCGATTTTGCCGCATACATGACATGGAAAGAAACGAATGATAAATTAGGATTTGTCTGAATAAAAAAAAACAAAAAACAAAAAACATAAATTAGTTACATTGTAACCCCTTTAACAGTATCTCTGATCTCAGAACACAATACTCTAGATACCCCTAGATGGAGAAGATTTGTAAATTTATACCTTTTAGCTATCAAAACTCAATGTTTATGGATTTACACAACAAGTCTTAACCGCACAGATGCATGAAGGTCGATGTAAGCTCATAAGAAAGGATACTGTTGTCACTGAGACTGATCTTCTCGTGGTTTTGGTCATAAAATTCAAGGCCGTTGAGGCCGATGTAGTACGGGTCTCCCCAGGTTGTTAACAGCTGCAGCTGAAAGATGACTGATGGGTGAAGGTCAAGGAATATAACAACATGAAAAGCACATGTGCAGCACACAGTCTGGGCTGTGTGCGAAGTCATTCGCTATTTATTATATAGTGCATTATATATATACCCTCTGAGTTTGAACTTTATCTCCCTCAAATATAGTACCAATAAACACAAGTGTCCAACGCATGGTCAGGATACAGCCACAAGGCATGATGGGAGATTCATAGTCCATGCTGGCCTTTTCTTGTTTCTTAGAGCGTCCTCTGAATTAGAGACAACGACATTATAAATTAGCAAGTGCAGTTTTCAAACTTTCTCAAGTTCATGCTAGTTAAATGTGTGGCTCCTACTTGTGGAAGTCCTGTGCACTCTTGTTGTCGGTGGGCGTCTGCAGGAAGTCGATGAAGAGGATCTCCTGGGCAAAGTCAAAGTGACAGTTGCCTGGTCCTTTCCTGATCAGGAATCCCTCCGGAGGAGAGATGGCAACATCATCCATGAACACATGGATCACCTTCACCTGAATGTGAAAAGCTGTATGTTTGATGCGTTTCCTATAGTCTCCTGCATTGAAACTTTCTTGCTAAATACAAAAACTAATAACTAATCCATGCCCTCCAAAAACATAACTTGATCTCTGGCTCCACCTGAAGCAACAGACAGAAAAGTGTCTCACCCCTCTGTAAGAGTCCTCAGGGGACTTGTTGTAGTTCCAGATGCGGAGTCCAGCGATAGTCTGGGCCTTGTTGAATGTCATGTTCAAGGTGTGTGGCTCTCCATAGGAGAAAGGGATCAGCCACATGTACTGGTCATCAGTGGTAATGTTGTGGCCATCTATAAGCCTGGGTGAAGAAAACAGACATTGAAGGCTGCGCCAGACATTGTAATGATCTGAACTAAGATTCCAGACGTTTCTCTGAGAGCGGGGTTTGGGGAAGTAAGGGTATAAGGCGTACTTATCAAGCGTGCGCAGGTCGTTTTCGTACTCAGGCAGGTCGTTGAGGTCCCCGGGAGAGGCCGCCATCATGCTGAGGTCTAAAGGTAAACTCTCTCCGTCCTTCCCCACCACCTCCAACCCTGTCAGGCCCATGTAGTGGGAGTCCCCCCACGTCAACACCAGCTCTAGTCTAAGGCCTGGGGAGGAGGTAGGCCGTCATTATAAGTATCCAAACAACAAACAGAGCACCGATCATGTGACGCTGATTATCTACTCACACTTTCCAGTGTACATCCCAGGAATAAGCTCCATGTTCTCCTCAGACTGACTCACAGTGGGGTTGAGCTGGAGATTCAACTGAGACAACATGTAAACACATTAAAACTATAACAATATTGTTGATGGCTAATTTACTCTGAATGCTTGTTATACTGTCTTTCCTCAGTGTCTCTCCCCAATGTGGAATGCTGAACACTATTGGTTCCTGCACAATGAATTTTCATTTAATTTTGCTGAACAGGTGGATTGAATATTCGGGGTCTTTGTTTTGTTATTACTGTCACAGGTGGAAAAAAGGCAAAAAACCTGCACCCACTGCCGATAAGGCCTGTACTTACTTTGAGGTCTTCTTCTCGGAAGCCAGCCTGTGTGAAGGGCCTTTCCTCTCCCTCTCCATCAGCGGTGCGTGGCCTCTGCAGCTCCTCCTCCGCCGCCAGGCTCTCGGGACCCTCACCTTCACTGAGGAAGGTTTCATCATTACGAGACATAGCCTCCAGGATCTCATCGTCGGTAGTGAACAGGATGGTGTCACCAAATTGGTCCAACTCTGAAGTGACAGCAGAGTGAGGAAAAAAAAATGGAAAACACACAAAGGAGCATGAAAAACTTGTGAGGCTGTTGTGTTCAGCTACCTCCAGACAGGGTCCCAGAAGCCTTGGCAATCTCGCCCCTGAAGATGCACCTTCCATCCAGCAGCATTTCCACCTCCTTCACGCCTCGGAAGGAGTGAATGCGTGACTTGTTGTAGTTCCACACACGGATCATGGCCACCTGGTACGGAGCTCCAAAGTCCAGGAAGATGGTGTGGCTCCGACCAGCGGTGAACGGCGCCAGCCAAAGATGCATGTCATCCTGGGTGCGATTAACGCCGTCAAACAAGTTGCTGACCACACGAGGATCTTTGCCGTACGCAGGGAGAATGTTGATGTCTGGTGGGTCAGCACGGATGTGAGCAGGTCGTAGGGGCTCTCCACTGGAACTGAACACCTCGAGGCTGTTGAGGCCCACGTAGTGGCGATCGCCCCAGGTGGACAGAATGTTGAGGACCAGCCTTTGGCCCTGCGGCAGCACAGGGATCTCGAACTCGTCCTCCCGCTCCATGGATGGATCATCATCAAGGTCTTCACACAATGCCCCCTGAGCGGTGAAGGGGGAATGTGGGCTCCTGGGTGCTGTGGAGGGGTTGACTGGGACTGTGGGTGGACCACGGCCCCGGCGCTGGACGAACTCATCAAAGACGTCACCTTCGAAGGCCATGTTGGAGATGCGTCCACGCTGGAATTGGTTGAATTTAGTAAGAGAGTCCCAGGACTCCATGAGGGTGTCATCCTGTTGGCTGTGCAGCTGGGCCGGAGAGGTGTACTGCCTCCTGCTAGGGTTCACCAATGACAGTGGCTCCTCTGGAGAATACACAAAGATTGATGTTATTTACTAACAAGCCAGGAGAAGTAGGATAATGATTTTATGACAGTAAACTGCCTTTATATTTATCACATAACATGCCATATAAAATAAGACTGTATATTTAACAGTTCCCTTGTTTTAAAAATGTGTTCGCATGGTAGCGACAGATAGCCTGATTGGTGAAATACAGGACTAAATAAAGCACAAGGTTGAAATAATCACATATAAAGGTGTCTCTTTGCGTTTCAGTATCCTAACTTTAAACATCCCTACCTGTGTTTAACAGTACAGTAGCTCTATGAAGCTGCTCCTCTGTCTGCCTGGCAGTGACTGCACTGTTTCGAAATGAGCTCCTGCGTCCGCTGATGGGCCTGTCCAGCTTTTGCTCTGCTAGCTCCTCCAGCAGGTCGCAGCTCAGATCCAAAGAGTCAGCCTTCCACGGACCCCCATTTGCTGTCCTCTCGATCACCCTACACACTCGGCCAGGGTTACACGGCAGCTCCGGGAGCATTGACGATGACGAGGCTGAGGGAGATTTGGGCTCCGCAGAGTTCTGAGGCACCAGCCACAGGGGCCTCTCCCTGCTAGCCTCGCATCCCTCTGGAGCTCCTCTGATCAGGGGCTGCAGCCACTGGGGGGCCACCCGTGAGGATGACGGCTGGGTGGTGACCGTCTGCTCCATGGGTGCAGGCTGCTCGACCTGCTGCCTGAGAGAGAGAGGCTCCTCTGAGACAGACAGGTCAAAAGAGTTTCCCTGGGTGGAGGGACGACGAGCGGAGGAGGAAACCCCCACTGGTGAAGGAGTGATGGGTGGTAGCAGTGTATGTGGGTTCTCCTGCATGTCCATCATAGCCTGGCCTGCGTCTGATGGCTGCTGATTCCAACTGTGGTGGTGCTGGGTGCTGCTGCCCTCCCCACCCTTCCTGTCCTCATGGTGCTGGGGGCTGGTCCCCCGTAGATTGTGTCCTGAAGACACGGGGCTGGAAAACAAGGAGTCTGAAACCTGGAGATCCTGGAGGTCGATTGTGGTGCTGTAGTCAAAGACGTGGTTGCCGCAGCCCTTCTCCAGCTCACCTTCAAACACCAATGTGCTGTTAAGGTACAGCTTTATATGCCGTGCACCAATGTCAAGATCCTAAAAAAGAAACGGAACTTCAATTTACTTGAATATACAGGTTCAAAAAAACATTTGACTTGTGATACAAAATGCCTAATTATTCAGGATTTGGATATCTGACATCTACACATAATACCTTTTACATAACTGAGTAAATTAAATAAAGATAGAAATATAAAATGCACATGAATCAAAAGGAAAGTATTTGTCATTTCATATTATGTGATACTTTGAGTCCTTAATGATTGTAATTCCAGCAAAGCTACAAAAGCTGCAAACCATAAATGCATAAAATCCCCAAAAGTGTAGCACTTGGGGAATTTCATGAATGTACAATTGCTACATTTACCTATTTCTCACATGCGGAGTAAGACTTCTCCAAGCTAGCAGTAATTAGCACTCTCACAGATACGAAGTCATGGCTCCCATGAAGAAATGGCTAAAGCCCAACTCCAATCTGCTCAATCCCCGAGACAGTAAACTACTATGAATTAACCTAGAACCTATTCCCCACCAACAGCTCCTTACCTTCCAGGTTCAACACAAGTAACTCTAGCTGTGGTAACAAAGAAAGAGATACGATGGGGTGTTTGTACCCCTCTATGAACAGCAGTGAGAGGCAGAAGCCCACGTTCCCCCCCCCCCCCAACACTAATCCTCTGGGGCTAATCTCTCACTGTTCCACATTTGGAGAGTGTGACTGGCAGCTCAGCCAGCCAATGTTAAAAGAGAACCACCCCCCTGACGGAACCACGCCAATACATCCGCCTGCATTATTGTGACAACACACAAGCATGTTGGATTCGTGCGCTCTAGATCTGCAGACAGCGAAATGAATAATCTCTGCACTTGAGCGAGGGATAAATCAAAAGCTGTGAGGAACAGATTACACTTCAGTTGAACAAATTACAATTCTTTATAATCTGTAATCCCACATAAACAAAAAAAAAAACATACATTGAGGCTTCTGTTGTAGTTCCAGATTTTGATGAGAGATATTCCGAAGTCTGGGGAGCACTCGGTGTTCCTGATGACGAAGTAGAGCTGGATGGGGGGTTGGAACGGACACGTCCACATGTGACGCTCACTGGTGGTCTGTCAACCCAACAATATAGACAAATATCATCAAATACTTTGTCCATGTAAATGGTGAGATTCGTTCACAAATGTTTGGAGCAACCTTAAACTTGTATGTAATAGGCCTTTTACACACCAGACAGGTGTAAAAGGATCGCAGCCTCCTATAGAGGTATTCAAGCTTCAGAGCCCTGTTATTGTGCAAGTTTGTTTACTGTCATGGGACACTAAAATGGAACAGACTCATAATTAATGTGCTTTCCTGCTATTGTCTGTCTATTAAATAGCTCACCTTCACCTTTCCATTGACAAGTGCCCCCAGATTCCCGGGGTAGTCAGCGTTTCTGATGTCCAGGTCGTGAGGAGACACGTACAGCTTCTTGTTTCTGAGGCAGAAGAACTGCAACTCAGTCAGCCCGACCTGCAAAGAGCTCCCCCAGTTCGACAGGATCTCCATGGTAACATACAATGCAGGGGTGACCTCAGCCGAGGACAGGTTCCTCTGCAATGATAACACAAAACAGCCACAAGTGCCTCTGTTCACGTATGCGTCTATCACACCCAGTAGTATTAGGACTTTTCATTCTGCGAGGCGGTGTTGCTGACTCACCGGCTGCTTGTTAAACTCGGTTTTGACACTCTGAGGTATGTTGTAGCCGGGTCCTGCTTCAAGTTTCTTCAAGGCTTTCAGCAGTTTCTGTGGTTGCCTGAAGAAAAAGGATGACATCCTCAGCTCCACTGCTTTGTCTATGGCGCCCGACCTTCATATTAATGGTGAGAGATGGCTGAGCACTGTGGTGGCTACACTGATAAATATTTCTTCAATGTCAGAGGGAGTACACACCATAAATCTCTGTAGCGCTGCCCCCTCTTAGTCGACTAATCGGTTGTTTTGGTAAATTTAGATTGGTCATATATTAAATGCTTTTACATGCTGAATCATCAGTTCATTTCTGGTAAACACACAAATTAAGGTGGTGCTTTTACATGATTCATTGTGGAAAGACCATAGAAACAGAATAGGAGTAGAAGAGACATTCCCCAGTCAAATCAACGTAGCACGATGATCAGAGCAGCAACCATTTCTATATGTACCACTGCCATTGCGACCGTTGTAGCAGGCTTAGTTCCTCACTGAAACAAGCAGTGGAGTAGTAACGTTACAAAGAGTAGAGAGCATGAGCATGTAAAATTTATCAACGTATGCTTCATCCACACACGCTTGTCATAGCGTAGAAAAGCACATTGCTATCGCCAGATAGATAGTATACAACTTTGTTCGGCTAATTTTCTGTAACCATCGTAGCATAGTAATTAGCAAGCTCGCTAGCTAATTAGCGGACTAATGAAACAACACTTTACAGCCTTACTGACGTGCGCTGTCACCGTAACTACTGTGTATCTTGGTGCAATATGCTGTCATCATACCCGGGGCCCATGAGCGTAATTCTCTGCATGGCCACAGTGACACTGCTCTCATCCTTGTTGTGGCTGTTGTGGTGCACTGAGTCATTCATCATCTGGTGTCCCCTGCCCTGGATTAAGAGGAAGCAGAATAGAAGAGTCAGACATCCATAAGCTTAAGAGGCAGAGTTTACATGGAAGCATAATCCATAACACTATTATACAATTTAAATCACATATAGTACATGTGTAGAATTGTGTGTGGGCAGTAACATCAGGGTGTATAATATATGGCCTCTAAATGAGCATAAAAACAACTGTTAATAGAGAAGAAAAGGGTTTTAATAATTAGTGGCCTAAATTGAGTAGAGGTGGGACATGTACAGGGTGGGGCAGGCAGACCGTGTTGCGGCTGAAGAGCTCCGGACTCTGCACAGGGTCGTGTTCTCTCTGGATGGCCTGGCGCACCCTGCATGCCATCTCCTCAGGGTCTCGCTCCTCAACAGAAGCCTTTCTGGCTGCCAACAGGGGCCTCTCCAGCCGACTCCTTGGCCCTTCAGCAAGAAGCACACATCTATCAAACCACAATCATGCACCATGCTATCTAACAGATGGGCTTTTCTACAGAGTTTTATTCTAAATTGGGAAATCTTCCATTTGTGGAATGTAAACTTTGAATTAAAGAGCTTTCAAAATATTAAAAGACTCACTCTGACCATCCCAGCGTTCTTTGGAAGGGGGTCTATCTAATGTTTTGCTCTTCACCAACACGGGCTTGGTGGGTATAAAGATGTCAGTGTGTTCTTTCCTTTTTGCAGATAGTTCAATCTTACGACCTGCAATAATGGAGAAAATCAAAACTGAGGATATTTTCATATGAGGAATATATTGTGATATTGTGAGTTTGCAGGCATAAAAGGGCCATGGACTGGCTGGCTAACGCTTGCTATCACTTGAACTGGGCATAGACAGCTAAACAACTTGCCTATTCTCCATGTGTACAGATCAGTGCTGATGAAGCAGATATGGAGGAGATTGAACCACTCTGGGCAATTAAGACTCACCCTAGGAATCAATAACAATCTACATATGAAAGTGGATGATAAAGCCTACCTTTAGTTGAGGGTCCAAAGTCCAGCACAATGAGGTTTGCTGAGTCAAAATGGCTATGGGAGCCACTGGGCCGAGGGTTGGAGGAAGACTTGGAGGACGTGAGAGGCAGCCCCAGTTCGTCCAGACTCTCAGTGCTCTCCTCCCTCTCAATCTGCTCTTCCACCCACTCCTCGTCCGACTCCTCCCCCGCCGAGCCGCGGTTGCTTCGCCGCATGCTAACCTCCAGGCTCCGACGCAGAACCTGGTTTACAAAGGTCAGCGTTTACGCATGCATCCATGCACACGGTGATCAGTGTAAGAACTAAGAGGCGCAAATGTACACACATGCATGCTGACAGTTTAAGCATTCCCTTGATTTGTGTGACTACCACGGAAGTAACGTCATAAATTCACACCCAGGGGCATGAAACTAATTAAGATGATTCACAACACCTCAGGCAACCTTGACAAGATGAAATAAAACATATTTCTTCTTCTTCTCACCTTCACTTCCTCGAGGTTGAGAAGTACCTTCTCGTTGTGCTCCTGATTTGCTTGGCTCTCATGCCTGGAGCTGAAGGAGGGCGATACCTTGCAGTTGTTCCTTGGGGAGCAGGGACTACGAGACGAGCGTGGACCGGAGCTCTGTATGAAACAAGGTGATTAGATAAAGGGGAAATGGCAGAGACGGAGAGATGCTAAGTAGTACACACAGCTGCATCTGACACATAGTCCCTCCCCTAAAAAAAACACCCACACAGACAGGCTTAGTAGGCATTGTCATGTCTTGACTCTACCTCCATGTCTACGCTTTCATATGGCTCAAAATCCTCAGAGTAGCGCTTTTCTGGACAGATCCGCAAACTTGGTCCTTCCTCGGTTCGAATTCTGACAGAATCCTGCATACAACAAAAAAAAGAGGAAATATTTAACATGTGTACTTTCATAGGAAAATATTTTTGATGTTGCATAATCAAGGATTAAATATATTAAGTAGTTAGAATCCCCTATACCTGCACCCATTCTTTCCTCTGGACTTTCCCTGGGGCAGTGTGGCTCCTCTTCCTGTGGGTCTGCTCCAGATTACGGCCGTCTTCAGTTAACTGGTGGGCACTTCGACAGGCATCTGACGATGAGTAGCAGCACAGAAAGGAACATGAGCAGCTTGCAGCAGACTACTGCCTGAGTGGAGAAGGAAAACGCAGTCACATATGCAGATGGTCCACACAGCACACAGAGGAAGAACGAAGAACTGGCTGCCAGCAACAACTGTCACTATCATTTATTCACTGGGACTGGGCAAGGGATCATACCATACACACTACAAGCTGAGGAGTGGTGGCTATTAGCTCATGCTCCATATGGTTTGAAGATGACAGAAGCAACAAAATATGAGTAATACGAGTATGAGGTGGCGCCTTCCATTCCAGTGTAAAAAGGATTGCCTGCTAGAGAACAATATTTCCTTCTGCGCAGTAAAGAAGGAAAACAATAATGGAGGTCTTATATAAGACTGCTACTTTTGAGTGTCTATAGGTTTATTTTGGTCCAGCAGCAGCATACCTGCTGTACGTGCAGGTCTCGAAGCAGGTGAGGAGGTGACACAGGAGCTCTTGGGCTGCTTCCTATTGGCTTCAGCATTGGCTCCGTTAAGATAAAGTGAAAAACCTTGCTCAAGCTGTTCCAACTCAATCTCCCTGGAGTCTTTGACTTTAAGGCGCTTTAGGATCCTGAGGAGCAAAGAAAACGGGTGAATACATCTACAATTCTAGAAATCTGGCCAACAGTGTATCACATGATTGAGATGGCTAAGATCAAGATTCAGGACTCACAGGAGGACGCCAACCATTTTTAAGCTATTCTGACCTCCAATCTACTACATTCCACACACTAATTTAGTTCCTCTCAAAGCAAAGAAACCAGTGCTCCTATGAGGCAGCACTGAAAGCCATGGAGGAGTTCCACATCTCCTCTGTGAACACTAATCTGTCTATCCCCAGCAGCCTGTGATCACACTTCACCTGTTTTTGTGCTGGAGGGCGATTAAATATTCATCCAGGGTGTCGTCCAGAGCAGAGGCTAGCTTCTCTCCTTGGCACTTCTTACTCTCCTTAAAGAACACCAGCATTAGTACACACACACACACACACTCACACACAGAGTCAGAAAAGTCTACATCAGCTATTTGAGGAAAACAGATCGTATACACAATACACCTCATTGTTGCACTAGTACTCACAATCACGGACTACAATCAATATCCACTGTATTCTGTACATCACAAAAATGCAAGCAAACAACTTGCTCCTCCAGTCGTCTTGAGTAAATAAAACATAAATGCAGCTAATGCAATGTGTCAAGATGTTAACGTTACATAACAGATAGACAAAACATATTTATGCAACTTGAGCCAAGATCCCTGTGGAGACACTCCCAACACATTTATGAATCCATGCCATGTGAAATTCATGCTCTCCTTAAAAAGGTGGTGCTACCCTGTACTCATTAGGTGTGAGCACTACAGTGGTTACACAGTGACTGGAACAAGAGCTACTTCATCTTGCAATAATGTGTCTTTGCATAATACATAAAGCATCGGCCTTTCAAAGAACCTTGCAGTGACAGTACGTGTCACAAATCTATCAATCTATCATCACTTAAAATGTCATATAACTAGAGAGCAATGAACTGACCATTCTTGTTTAAAAGCCACACTTGACAAGATGTTTTATTGTAAAAAAATAAAAATAAAAATTAATAAATACATAAGCCAAGATCCAAAAAGTGAGGGTCCAGCAGCAATCCTCACAATGCGAATATTGTCCAGACACTGCTGGACTCAATTAAAATGAAATCATCACATTAAATCATCAGATATCTGCCTGCTTCAGTCTTAAAAGGCCTTTACCCAAAGCCACTGGTAAATTTGACGGATGTGTGTCTTGGAAGGAGCATCAGTTGTCTGCATAACACAGTCACCTACAGCTCATGCCATTCCGTGTTTACAAACCATCATGCAAGACGAGCAAGAAAATCAGAAAGCCCTTACTTAGTTTCTACAAGTCAACTAGGCTACAGCGTCTGTCAATATCAGAAGAGAAGCAAAGAACATTGAATGAAGAATAGAAAGTACTTGTTAGTGACAGAGATTAGAGACAACTGCTGTAAAATATGACTGATTGACCCGAAAATCAGAGAGCTTCTGAATGGTGTCTCATGTCGAGTAATGTGACAGATGATGCGAATTTGAGACCGACAGAGCAGATGAGTATCTTACCTCGTTATGCATTGTGTGGCTGCAGATAGTGCTGTTCACACAATCCTATCCCATATTATGGAGAGGCTCTGTGATTCTCCAAAGATATCATTGTAATCTGTGTTGAGTTTGATTTCCACTGCAGAGGGAGCACAGATGAGAGAGACCCAAGGTTACCTGTGACATGAAACCTAAATTACCTTTAATGCAGTTCGTTTCAAATGTCGCCCCACCCGCTGGACAATTCACAACTAAAAACACATCATATCCGCTATTTCCAAGCCGAACGTTGACGTTACCCATCTGATTATAGCCCATTTGTAACAGCTTGACGTTACATTACCCTGACGTTACGTGCAGGGTATTTACAGATGTGTGGTAACGTTTGCTAATCATCTTTATTCATATGACCTTAACAGCTAACACGCCTGACAGTTCTGACTGTTAACATTGAACGGTTAGCTGACGGTAGCAATACGGGTTAACGGTTTATCGCACAAATTATCTCCGGAGGTTAGCTTGTGTCAGAGACAACGTTAGCAAGCAGTTAGCATTGACGCTAATAACAGACTCAGTAGTCTGCGTTAGCATGTAATAAACACATTAAATAACACAAAAATCAAGCTTTTGCTCTCATATTCTCGTACACCTTTTACTCTGGTTCTAACAAGTATTAGAAAACCACTTACTGTCCCTGTAAAACTATACTTTGTTGGCCATTATCTTTGAAATTAACGAGTTTTCCTGTGTTTTCTCATGTGTCCAGTCAGTAGTGTTGGTTAGTAACCAGGATAGCTGTCCACCAATAGGGAGAGCCGCATCGGTGTTAGACACGCCCCTAGCCTGTCCGCTCTCTGACTGCTGCTCCTCGCGCCAACATCCAGACAGACAAGCCTGCACAAAACGCTGTGCTGCAGAAAAACACACCTTTGAGGAGCAGTGAATACAGTGGTATGCAAGCATGTCATTCAGCATCAGCATTAGATTACAAAGAAATAAGATCACTGAAGTAAAATCACACAGATCCCCATGGTCCAACAGTCAAAAGTTCAACACTGTTTTTATTTATTATAAATCAATACATTTTATATAAAAAGGACAAAGGGGGTCTGAAATAAAATCATTGTAGATGTAAACCAAACAGATTAGGTTATGCCATCCTCTTACCACACTGGACCCATACCACAGACTCTTGATTAGCCAGCATAGTTAGCACTCATTCACTCATCCCAAAACGCCCTAGGCTATATTTAAAGATCATTCTACATTTTGGAAAAGGTTGGAAATTAAAATAATGTGGTTGACATCAATCTTTCTGCAGTGTTGCAAGTATAGCGACTAAGCATGCCATTGGTTTTTGTGCAATCCATTACAACCATCACCAGCGCCAGTCAACAATATTTGAGAAGTACGTATACATTTCTTTTTTGTATAGAAGTTCAAGGATGTGATGACTCTCAAACTCCTGACGGTAAACAATAAAAGCTTTGTGTGAAGCCCCTTGTAACGGTCCTGAATGTAACGCAGGTTTAGGCATCATCTGTTGAGAAATGACCAAGACCTATTACTTTAGCTCATTTGTTGCGGTACAGACTTCCTAAAATGAGAAAAGCCAGCATCATTGTGTTGCACACACTTAACTGCTTCTTGAAAATAGGTGGACGTGAAAATGGTAGATGCTCGAGGTCAAAAGGGAGCACAGCCCCTCGCTGCACCAGTAGCACTCAAAAACAACACTCCACACAGAAGAGAGGATGGGTCCGTTACCATCAACTTGGAATTAGATGGATATTACAACGTTGTATTATCGTTAAAAACAAAATGACCTTGTGACAGAATTGTAATCCATTACTGTGTTGCAGGCCAGCTGTGAAGGCCAAACAAGTGCAACCTATTCATCTTCACAGCACTGCAAGATAAAATCATACAATCTAACTAGATTAGGCCAATCAAGATGATTTCACTGACCCCTGACCCTTATGGTTACTCTCATGTTTTGATAGTAAAACAGGTTGCCAAAATGTCCCTTCTTTTTCTTATTAACTTTATCCTTGTACTAAACATATCAGCAGTGTTATCAAGTCAAAGTGAACCGTCTACATAATAATATTGTGGGAAAAGGTAATGGCTTTCCCTCGCCTGTTTTTAAAACCAAACTCCAACTCTGCTTGGTTATGGTCGGTAGATGGGAGGCTGAAATGGACCACATGTCCAATTACTCAAAACACACATGGGAGGAGAAAAAAAAAAGGTAAAATAATAACTTAAATAGAAGTGCTTAAAAATAACAGTTCTTAGAGCCCTTTCAGAAACCCAAAAAAAGGGTGCAAAGCAGGAATCCCACCCAGACAGAATAGGAGAACAAAATGAACAGCTGTAATGGTAATACTAATATTCATCCAATGATTCACAGATGTACAGTTCAGGTGTAGATCATATCGTGCGCGCCCTTATTTCTTGATTCCTGGTCAGTGGCCCCCCCACGTCTGTGAGCCGCGGCTTCCCTCTGTTTCATGTCTGTCTGTGGTGGGGGAACACTCTGTCTCAGTACACCTCCCCTCTTCCTCCTTTGCAGTCAGTGCCTGTTCCTCCTCTCTTTTCCTGCGCTCCAACTCCCACTCCACAAAGGTGTCGAAGAGGCTGGGCCAGGCCTCGTCCTCGCTGTAGTTGCTCAGGTCCGGCCCAATAGCTTGGGTGAAGTTGAGGAACATGTTCCACGTGTCCCTTGAAATGCCCCGAATACTTGAGGGGTTCTCCGACAGGAAGTCCAGCCAGTGCTCCAGGATCGCAGGCGAGTCCTGGGTGAACACCAGGCGCCACAGGGCGATGGCGATTTCACGCTGCAGCGAGCGCTGGCCCTCGTCAGCGTCCAGGCCAAACTGGAAGGTGAAGCGGTACAGGTCCTTGAAGTTCTCCTCGCCCCGGGCGTCCAGCATCATGACGGGGAAACGTGAGCAGATACCTTCGAGGCTGTCTGCCTTGATGGCCTTGCAGCCCTCAACAAACTCCTTCCTGGGGACACAAAGTAAACAAGAACAGACATCAGAGCGATAGTGGAGTGGACCATGATGAGGCCCAGCAAAGAACTTTTTAACAAAACTCAATCAGCAGCACCAGAGCTAACTAGTAGCTAAATTGACTAAGTGCTACAACAAAACAGTGTGAAGAAATGCAAACAAAAGGGCCATGTGTCTATAACAACTATCTGACTAACTCCTATAACAACTATCTATAACTTTGTCGTATGTAATTTCTCCGTTGACTATATTGTGCAGTTGTGTTTTATATATTGTACCTTTAAATATATTTTAAAGCTCAGTACTGGAGGAGGCAAACAGGCATTTAACTGTACAATGTAAAGATTTGAGTATGTGACAAATAAAAACCTTGAAACATTGACAAACTTCAAGCAGATATACTTTGGTATTTGAGCACTGCAACAATATAGGCTTTCAAAGTCAAATGGAATATAAACAGCTTGGGTAAGCATTAGTTGACAATGAAACACGGTGGTAACCAGAGTGTGGTGTTGTCCAAAGCCTCTGATAGAAAAGTGCTGAGTTCAAAATCAGAGGGGGGAGGTGACAAGTGAACCGGCCAGCGGGCAGCTCTATTCATCTCAGACACTAACTGCAGTGGGAGTGCAGAGCAGGTATATATACACGTGTGTGTGTGTGTGTGTGTGTGTACAATAGTGGAGAGATGACGAGGATAGAAAGGTACACTAAAGGATCCCGGCCAGATTCATGGCATTACAGTTCATTCTCTCCTCACCCCATGGGTGATTTGTCTGTTAATATCAAGTGCATAGCCAATTTATTACAGCTTCAATATACTTTCTTCTTAAATGTAACAATTACTGACCGGTTTTAAAGTCCTCTAAATTTCTAAAAGCTTTTTTGCGTTTATTCAAAATGTGTCATTTCATTGTTCATCAGCACTGACACCAGCAGCGACTGAAATGACTCAAAGTGACTAATCAAGTACACCGAGTCGTTCCTGTAGCTGTTACTCACAGAGAGAACAGGTTACAATAAACAAAGGCTGTGACGTGAATCTATCTAGTATGTAATCAATAATCACAAATGCCTTGATTGGCCCCAATCCCACATATTAATTTAAGGAAACCCTATAATGTTTTTACTTGGGGTAACACAGTTGATAGCATGTTGGAGTGGCCGGTTGGAGTCCCGCATTGGAACACGTACGGTGTTTGTACTCGTACCCGGAGAGGTGCTCGTTCATCTCGCAGGCACTGCCGAGATTCCCTTGAGCAAGGCAGCCAATCCTCTAACTGCTCGGGGGTTGCCTGACCATGACCTCATCACTAACATCTCTACACACTGCATTTCTATGGGTCATGCATGTGTGTATTTCGGTCTTGTGCGTGTGTGTGTAAAATTAAATTATGCGTGCAAACTTCCGGGAATCTCCCCCCGGGATAAATAAAGTAATAACCACCAGGCCACAATAAGCATTTCCAAATGTAATACCAAATATATATATATATATAAAAATAAAAAGAGCATCCTGTTTGGTAATTAAATCAGGGCGAGCACTAATGAAACTGTGTGTGTCAGTCATCTGGGATGAAGAAATATCTGACTCAAGATGTCCTGTTCTCACCTACAGCTAATAACTGTGGAGTGGTCATGCTAGTTCATCCTGATGAACAGATACCAGCAAACAACACACCTAATGTCCCACAACTCCACCTTACCTTGTAAACTTGCACATGGTGGCTGCTTGAAACTTCCAGGCGAGAACAAGCACACGAAACTCTGCTGGGTCCACACACAGGTCATTGCAAAACATCTCCATGCCTTCCTCCAAGATAGCATCCTCCTGTTCATCCTTGTAGCAGCGGAACAGCTCATCAATGCGCAGCATCGACAGCCCGTCTCCATCCAGACACTCGTCCCTGCGTGGTTCCCCCATTACTGCAGGGATGACGGGCGTCTCCACCGTAACCTCCAAGGCCTTGGTGCCATTCGACAGATCGCTGGAGGCTTTGCTACACGGAGCACCGGGCTCTTCTTTGTGGCTGCCACCAGCACTGCCTCCTTTCTTGTGGTGGGACTTGGAGCCGCTCTCCTTGTCTCCACTCTTACTGCCGAGCGAGGACGTCGGATTCTTACACTTGGTGACACATTGACCCATGTCTCCCTCCCTGGTCCCTCGTCTGTCTTTCCTCCTCACCTTCAGTCCCCGTCCGAGCCACCTAGACGCCTCTTCTCTGGCCCGGCGAGACGTCTCAACATACCCTCAGGCCTGAGGTGAAGAACAATTGAAAAATGTTAATTGTCGTAGAGTGCGGCTCTAGACTGAGTCAGCCTTGCTCAGAATCAAAAGGCAAGGATCCACATTTCTGTCGCTATTAGTAGAACAAACTCTAAGCACAAGGATTTGTGAGCATTGAAGGTCAGGAAGTTACGCTACCTGTGCCAAATCTGCCCCGATTCACTGCCAGACTTAAAAACCCTAAAAAGTGAAGACCAGAGAAAACAACAGTCTATATGTATGCATGCATCCAATGCTTACAGTGTTGATTACCATAGAAACCTCTACAAAAGAAAAAAACATTACAGGTAACCCCATAAACTTACTGAATTGGTTTTGTGTTAAACAGAGCCACTAAAAAAACTTTAGGTTTTCCTTTGTGACACCAAAGGTCCATCCATTTAAAGGCAATTAAAATATACCTAAATGTGTATAACTTGAACTTATTATGTTAGCTTTGTTGCGTTTCATTTCATGATAATCCTATGTACCATGTCCACATAAATGACATATTTATCTTGGTATCAGGAGACAGTCTGACAGAGACAGTTTTACCAGGTTCTTCAATAGGCAGTACATGCAGTGTTGCTGTCTTCCTACATCCCAGCAGTAATGGCAGCAGATTAAAAAAATGCAATCATGAAATGATTTCTAAAATAGGCAAGACTGTGGAGCTACTCTGGTTGCCAATGAAAACGGCAAAATTATTTGAAAGACATTTTACAGCAATAATTTAACGTGATGGTTCCAAACCTTCCGCAGTGAAAAAAATTCAACCCGAGGCTGTTTCGTGAGGTTAAAATAAACATGATTACTTGGTCATGTGTGTCCCTTTCCAGGTTTTCACAGGCTTTTAAAAGAGAGTATATATGTGCATGGAAAAGAAAAGGGGAATAACGCCACACTGAAAAGTAACATCACTATGGGGACTCACATGTTGCCACAGTACTAACTACGGTTGTGATTGGCAAGAAAAATAACTTTGGAGAGGAAGATGAAAATCTGATTAGTGACCGAAGTGCATATAAACTGGGGTTCAGAGTAATCAAACTAATGCAATGTGTAAAAGCATTATCTATTTTCTACCTACCCCATTTCTCACAAAGCAGCATGACTTCATGTGTAGTTAATGCAATTAATCAGTCAGCTGTAACATCTGCTCACATAAAATGTGTGAGTTGATCAGGTGTTCGATAACTAACAAAAAAGTAGCTGGGAGTTACTTACAGACAATCCCTCTGCAGGCATTGAGCACAGATCAAAGCGTCTGTCTACTCTGCTCCGACATGACGTGTCAGACATGCTGCTGAAAAGACACATAATCTTGTCATCATAAGCAGAAAGTGATAGCTCATCACTCCCAACGCTGCAGGACTATTTTTGTCAACATCCTATGAATATGTCATTTGAGCACAACAAAGCAGTTTGCCTCATTGCAGGAATGTTCAATTACTGATTAATAACTACAAAGACGGTGGTATAAGAGGCTAATGCATCTCTGGATGAGCATCTGTAGGTGTCCAGTGAGAGACCTGAGAGACAGGCTTTGTCCTGAATGAGATTCAACTCATGAGCACATGTTGTAAAAATACACAACTTCGACTTACTTTTGAAAACAACTTTTGCTGTCTGTGGTTATCACTGGTCTTACAAAGCCTTGATTATTGTTCTAACGTTAACAATGAAAATGTATTCAGCAAATCGACTGTACTGATCACTGAACTGGGCATGTCGAGGCAAATCTCTCACTGGCACACTCTGGCTAACTCCACCTACCTAACATATGATGGACGTCTGAAGCCTCACTTAGTTATTAGAATGTTTTAAATACAATCTGCACGCTGTGGTAGCCAAACTCTTAACGTCAAGTTATCAGCCATTATTTTTAACTAAGCTAACTAGATGTAGTCCTAAAACTGGGAGACAAAGTTGAGCTACAGTTCGCGTGATATTTGCACCGCTGGTGTCAATGCACAGAACTGTCCTCCACTAACGTGAGCTAGCATTAACGTTATTTTTACCACGTTATGATGGCGAGCATAAACAGGTTCAAGTGGGCTTAACAGCACATGCACAAGCACAACACTTACAAATACCATGTAAACAGTGTTTGGATAACCGTTAACACCTGGCATTTCCATCTGTTCACTTATTCAGATGGTACTTGTGTCAAAGCTGTTATTGATTGGCGAGACATCGCCGCCACCGGGCCATTTAATACTAACGTTACATCAACAACTGCCTGGCCCTGACGACGTCGCCACAGCTAGCTAGCATCAGCTCGGTCCACTAAAAGTTAGCTATCGGCTAAGCTAGGTCTTCCGATTAAGACACCGAGAAACGCCACAGTTAACATCGTACACAAACTTACCTTTTTGGGAAACTGTATCATCTGGAATTGAATGAACATCACGTCAGGGTCGCCAGTACAAATTAAGTGGTAAGTAAGTTGGCCAATTTAGCGTACACGACCAGAAACGAACTGAGGCAAACTCGTCGCGTTAACTCAGAATGCTAGCTAACTAGCTGGCAGCTGAGAGAAACTTCCTCATCAGTATCGTATTCATCTCCGCTTTTAAAAAGAAAATAGGTGAAACACTAGCAACCAGGTGGTACTTTTTAATCCATTCTGAATTACGTTCGCTCTTCAGAGTGAGTTAAAGGACCACCTCGGACCAAAGCAGTCCATTTCTTTGTGCTTCCCCCTTTTAGTCACTGAGTGTAGCTACACAGTGGGCATTCTCCTGCATCACTTCCTCCCTGACTACGAGCAGCCAACAGCTGATCTTCATCTCGGCAATGGCAACGACAAGGTATTTTTAATTTTAACAAAATAATCTGCTGAAACATCCTGGAAATATATAGAATAAATGTGAATACCGCATCACACCCAGAAGGCTAGATTGCCACGAAATCAATTAACGTAACTCGGGTGCGTGTTTTGTTGACATTTTACACAACCTTTAGGAGAATAATATAGAACGTGTGAAAAAGCTTATAACTCATATAAAATTGCTGCAACTGTGCCTATAAATAATTAACTGTAGAGATGGTGCTACTACTTTAAATTAGCAAAACATCTCCAACTTTATCTAAGATTATCCTCATGTTTTTTTTTCTTTGCAGCCTTTAAAAACCAGTCTGGGGAAGACGTCATCACCATGCGACATGTGTGTTTCTTCTTGCCTCTTCTCCAGACAGTCGGTAGGTCAAAGTTTGTAATATTAAATACATTGAAAAGCATATTGAGCGATAACGTGAAGAGCACTCGTGTCGCTATTAATTTCACCTCTGTTCGTTTAGGTGTCTTATGACTTACTGTCAGGGGAAAGCTACTTTAGCATCACTTTAGCTTCATGTTGACAAGTGATGCTAAATTATTGAGCTCCATACACAGAGAACTCAGTAACAGGTTTTGTGACGCCACTGTTCATTTCCAACTCAAACTACCTAATCGTGCAGGTAACCGCTGTCTGTGAGCCCCGATGACGGCCTCCACTCGCAGGACGGTGTTGTCACTGTACATGCGGGTGTTTCGCATCGCCCGCAGCTGGCAGGCGCAGAGTGGAGTTACGAGTGACGCAGAGACTGAGAGAAAATACATTCTCCAGGAGGCCTGCACTCTGTTCAGACAGAACCAGCAGGTGTGAACAACGGTGCGCTGATCTCAGAAATGAAGAAGCAGTAGTTTTTTTGGCACTTTGTATGACTCGTTGTTTTTTCTTCTCAGCTCACAGATCAAGAATCAATAAAAAGGTGTATAGAAGAATGTGAAGCAAGGATAGAAATAGGTAAGAGTGGAGAGATTCCACACATTTCCATACATGCGTCTTGACTAAAAGTCATCCTACTCTGGTGAAGACCACAGTAATACCATTCTGTGCTTTCCATGTCTTCTATTTATCAGATGCAAGGAAAGAGCTGACTTTATAAACTACGTAGCATACTTCCACTTTGACACTCAACCTATAATATTTGTATTACAGCAGGCCCAGTCTTATTTGTGGAGAAGGGTAACATCTAGCTAACAATGTTTGAAAAGCTTTATTTACCATTTAGTAAAGAGGCAATATTACCATGTTCAGCCCTTCCCCTTTTACAGGGATACCTTGACAAAAGCTTACATCCTGCCTTTGAAATTAGTAAATCAGGCAAAAGTGATACAATCGCTAATTAAAACACCACAGAAATCAATCTTAAATTGAGAGAATCAGATGCTCTGTGTCGGACCATGCAGGGCTGCAGGATAGAAAGCTTTTTGGCTTTGGAAGAGTGAGTAACACTTATCATTATTTCCACAGGTTTACATTACAGGAACCCATATCCAAGGCCTGTAAGTAATAACCATTTGTAAGACAAATTGGATAAGTTTCTCTCTGTGTTGTCGAGAGACTTCCTTCAATGACTTTGTTCCCTGACTGTCCCTGTAGACGTACCTACCACTGATGGGATTGGCCACTCAGAAAGGCAGGAAGCTGAAAGCACAGCAGCGCCTGAGGAAGCAGGCCAAGCCAGTATACTTGCAGTCACACGACGAGACCTGATGCTCGATATCTTCGCTCCTCGCCAACAGCTCAAGTTACCCTGGGCAGGAAACTAGAGTGCAGTCACTCGCTGATCTCATGGGCCGAGCTGTTGCAAGCACTCCGTGATGCGAGAACACCAGCCATTCACGAAAAAGCCATTTTTCACTGTCTGGTTTTTTTTTTAACTTTAAACTGCTTAAACATGAGTTCCTCAGTGTCGCTAAAGGCTGTCAGCTTCTGTTCAGCTCAGGAAGGCTGTCAGGGTGGAGTGACTTGTAATATAAGATCAAGTTGTATATTTTGTTTATTTAACTGTGTAAAAAAAAAAAAAAATAAATAATTATTGTTACTTTGAGACACTCGGCTATGACCATCTCTCTTTTCTAACATGAACTGTTTTTAGGAGCCAACCCCTTAATATTGGCCCCATTCCTCAGCTTGTATAGGTAGCCGGTTTATTCACGCAGAAAATATGAAATAAACTCCAGGAATGTTGGCAACAGCACAGAGGAAGATAAGGAAAACAAGTCATCACTCATCTATAATTATGAGCCATTGTAGTGTATGCAGATGGTGTGCTTCCTATGCAGTTCAGAGTTTCTTCAGAAGAAGGACTGTGTGAGGTAGACAGGAGGAAGGGCCCTTTACACTACAGTACATTTTCATCTTAACAGACATCCAAGCACTTGCAGTAATGATGATATGAGGCACAATTTACAAAGAGCTTTCCAGGAAGACATCGAAACAGGAACAGAGAGGGGCTGGAAAAACAGAAATGAAAGAAATGCGTTAACTTAGTGAGAGGCTAGTTAAAAGGTGGGAGGTAAAAATACTGTAAGTATAATGTAAGTTTATAATGTGTTGTGATTCAACATTTCTACTGTTGTATCTGTTTGCTTTAAAATGAAAGGGGGATAAATGCATTAAACTGTATCAAAAGCCTCCATTGTTTTTTACCAATCTAACAAGAGATGTGATGGATTATTTTAAAACGTAATCCTGTGTTTTTTGTTGGATCAATATACCACCAGCTGACCTGTTGGATGATCACCAACCTGGCATGCACCAACTGGTTGGAGGAAAGGCAGGAGTGTATTTCTTGATGTTATTTTGCCCTGGTAGATCCATGAACATAAGCTTTTAAAACTGTAACTCAGATGTTAACAGCTGTGCATTTCCAAGCCTCTGAACGTACACTTCTCAAACATGGAAACGTTTCACAGGTTTTTGCAGATTAAAGGTGTAAATATAAAAGTGCCAGCAAAGGCTTTTTTAAGTCACTCATTTATGGGTAAGAATGACAGATTATTTTCCTGAACTCTGTCGAAACAGACCTGTTCAACAGGAACATTACTTTGCATAAATTAATGTCAAGCATCATTGCGGCATTTTGTCGCAACAACAACAATGTGAATGTGTATTCATTTATTCTGGACGGTTAATTTAAGACTCTTTTTGTGCATTAATTAAAAAAAAAATCCCATTTATTCCAAATTCCTTAATTTATACATTTTATTGACATACTCAGAATGCCATTATACTATCCAACATTTCTGGATCTGGATCTAAGAGTACGGAATATCTGGTTTGCTTTGATATTTATTTTGTCTTTTTTGTCAGTTTCTCCATAACAATGAATCCAGCGTCTGGTTTGTACATCACTTTCAGTTCTATTCAGAAATCAGAGCAGAAAGAAGCTTTTCTCTCATCTGTTGGTTCATTCAGATGTTGATAAAAGGGCCAAAGCCCTGCAGAAGGGGTCGGAGATTCATCTTCCGTCCGCTTCGTGTTCAAATGTACTGAATACTGAGCTTTGTATTGCAAACTAAAAACTATTTACTCATACCACTACAATGTACAAAATAATGTAAACATCTAATTTGCCACAATAAACCAGATTTTTTACTGTGTTTTGTGCATGGTCTTTGCACTTGTGTTACAAATAGGGGCTTAGTCATCCACATGTACTGTATCTTTGTGCACTGAATGTACAATGGGTGTTGGTGAAAATGTTCCCTCCTGCTCTAAAAGATGCACATTTGAATTACTAATCCAAGAGAACCAATTACCTTTTCTAAAAAGGCAGTAAATAAATGAAAACAGATCACATTTTATTAACAAGAGTAAGCTAAAGTACAGATGTTCTTTCATTTAATTGGTTCCCTAAATTTGAAATTTGAAACAGAGCACCGATAATTAAAAGTTAGGTTTCTTGATTATTAGATTAAAACCAGCTGGCATAAAGGATGAATGCCTCCACTTCAATAATGTGCTTCACTTCAGTGAGTTGGCCACAGCCCACTTGAAAAGCCCTCTGTAGCTGATGTGTTCTGTGGGGACTATTATGTTCTGCTCCACTTTCCAGCAACGAGTGGATGAGCGAACATGACTTCTGATAATCTCAGCAGGGCACACATTGACACTTCCGTATTGTTGCGTGGTAAACCACTGACCTTTAACACCCCAGAGCTCACAATGGAGTCTTTACGAGATCATTTTCATTTCACAGTCTGGTCTGAGTCACCTTGATAAGCACCGTCTCCTCTCTTTGCCGAGGTCATTATTAGTCCTTCGGCACTGCACTGGCCTGAACGCAGCCACACGATGGAGCCCAATGGAAGCAGAGCAACGGGAAGTGTGCATGTTTTATTGAGTGACGCCAGGTCCAGTGTCTGACACCCCCTGACTCCAACCAGAGGCGTCTGGGCTGTGGTGTTTTTTTCACAAGTGAACAGTGACCTGGTAGAATGAAATACATTTCAGATGGGAAAATGAGCCCGCAGCAACATCAGAATTAGCTGAACTAAAAGTAGATCAGTAAGAAGACGGAGTCATGAGTAATTCCGGACATCAGCTCCAGTTTATGCCCGACTTACTGTCTGATGGACTGACAGCTGATTGCATGACTGACTAAATAAACTCACTAGTTCATGGGTATCTCTGATGAGTATGAGCATCTTAACGGACTAGATTACATTATTTTTGTAAGTTAGATCGACCAAAACGCCTCGGAAAAAGAAGAAAATAAATGAGAATGAAAACATACAACAAAACCATGAAAAAGGCACCTCTGATAGAAAATGTATTATGATCGAAAACGTTGAAACCAGTCCCGACACTCTTTGGCCACTAGAGGTCACACCATACTAACTGAAGCCTAATGTGGTTCACCAGTGTGAGTGGACCACTGGCTTCTCTGTGCGTCTGAGCTACATGTGACTACATTGTTCTGGCGGCATTGAAGATGACACACACCTGATGCTCAGTAAAAAGAGATTTAAAAAAACACTTTTAACGAGCTACAAATATTCTTCGTCTCCACCTCTCCTCAAAAAGTCACCAGAGTCCTCTGTTTCTCTGAGGACCGTCTCAAACTCATTACCACTTCAGACTCAAATAATTGTCTGATGCACATTTAATACACTCTGTTTGAGAGTTGGCTTGTCGCTGCTCTCTCCGTTCTCTTTCTGGAGACCACATTACCTCAGTGATAAATCACTCTCCTCCCTATAATTGACCACTGATGGGAGAGAAGCTGCAGCGGCTGTTAACTGTTTAAAGTTTGTATTAATGCTCAGGAGTGACTCACTCCATGCATTCATATATAGCATTCCTGTTGAACAATGGCCGTTCCTTTTTTTTTTCAGTCATTCTTGCTGGGAAGATATTTCATTCATTTAAACAACTTTGACTGAGGAGAAATGCCCAACTGCACTACTTCACATTTGAAAACCCTTTTTAAAATAGTGTATCTGGAATCAATTTACTTCTGCAAATCGGATGCAGTGAACACACAAAACCTAAATAACTAAACACATTCCCATCAGCCTCAGCTGTATTTGTTTCTCAGTACTCATTACAATTGCAAGCATGCTAACATGCTAAACTAAGAAGGTCAACATGGTAAACATTCTACATGGTCATTGTGAGCACTGCTTTGCCTATAAGTAATGTACAGCCTCACGTGCATTCAAGACTTGACTGCAACTGAATACAAATTTTAAAAATATTGATTTTCAATGAGCCTTTCCAGCCCCTTGTTTTCTGAGATGATATGCTCACACCAAAGTCAAAACTGAGCAAACACAAATCCAGGTTTTAAGAAACTTTAAAAAAAAAATCCAGTGTCACTAACAAGTCACAGTTGTTCACTAAATTTGACATAAGTCAGGATGTTTGGTTGCACTGCAATAATTGACTTGAAGTCACTAAACCAATTTGAGACGAAAAAAAAGAAGCTTCCTCAAGTAGTCAAGTGATAAGTGCAATCCCACCCCTCTTTTCCCCCTTACATCCCCCGTACATCCCAAGTCTCTGAATTGTCATTTCCTCGTTCCTCTCTCCTCGCATGGTTTCCTCCATGCATCCCTGGTGGGAGGGACTAAGACGCAAGGAAAGGACCCAAGTGAGGGAAACGGGGATGCAATTAAGAGACTTGGGATGTACCCATTGTCTCCCATTACCCCCAGATGGGACCGTGTCGTTGCAGAGAAACAAGCTCTGGGCTCCCACTGATTCAGCGTTATTGTGAGTTGTATTTATTTAAGCATTTTATATTTGTTTTCATGCCGATCGTATCATTTTATTTCGTCGTGTTTTTCCGCCACACCTTGAAAATATCGTCTGACATGAAACCGGTCCGTGGTGCAAAAAAGGTTGGAGACCACATACAGTGTTATTTCATTACTGCTAATGGGTCATAATGTGTGGAGTTTTGTGAAAACTGTGCCATGGAAAACATGGTGATCGCTGAACTAACAAATGGTGAATTCATAAAAGAATTAATACAATTCCATTGAGAACAGAATGGAACGCTGGATGGAACATGCAGTTTAGAACATGCATGTTCTCGAATGCAGTTTAGAACATGCATGTTCTCGAATTAGAATGTTGACGTGTCATCTTCAATATTGCTACCAGTCTATCTCAGAGCTCAATGCAGGCTGCCAGTGTGTGCTGGACCCTGGTCTTGCCTCCTGCCGTGGTTCTGTCTTATGCAGGTAGTAGCCCTGGCTTCTCGGAACCAATGCTGACGGTGAGCGTTTGAACTGGGGGGGAAGACCCAGTCGCGCTCTTGAGTCCTGCATAGTGATCGCTGTGCAGGGCAAGCCGCAGGCTGCCGTCGGCACACAGTAAAGATGGTTGGCCAGTCTTCAATACTACCCGTCTATCTCAGAGCTCACTACAGGCTGCCGGTGTGTCCGATGTAGGATGATGGGGTAAGATACTGGCACCAAACTCCTGTCGTGTAAACCAGTAGCATATCTGACCTGTAACTTTGGATTCAGAATAGACTTTGACTGCTACCACTTTTCGTAATTTGGCTCAGTATGTTTGGTACCACCATAATAATTT